GAATTAAGGAGGGGAGTTTGTGCAGGGGCTACCATGTTCTGCATCCGTCCATTAGAGGGCTGTTTTCTGGTCCGTGTCTTGTTTGCTGCCCCCCCGCAGCCAGGGCCAGCCGCATCTGAGTGGGCCTGGGCAACGCTCTTGGGGCGGTGCCTGAGTTCGGGGTGGGGGGTGGGCTTTCAGTCCTGGAGGAATGGGCGCGGCCTAGCAGGGCGGAATGGGCGTGGTCTTTGGAGGTCCCTCCCCGTCCCGCTTAGACAATGCCCCGGAGCCGCCAGACCATTGCGCCCCCGCCCCATCGCCGTCTGTGAGCTCGCCTACCCAGGGAACCCCTCAAAAGCCCAAGCTCCCAGTCTCCCCCGATTGAAGACTCGGGCTCCCATCTTCATCAACTCTCTCCTCTGGGGTGGGGCCAAGGCCGAAATCACAGCGCTGCGTGAGTGGAAGTGGCCGCTGGTGAGTCTGGAGAGGGGGCTGTCCCCGAACGGTACGGAGAGGCTGGAGTTTGGGGGTGCTGGGTCGGTGCCTGCACCGGACGGAGTGTGCGAATAGCCTGCACTTGGACGAGGAGCTGGGCGGGGTAGACTTTGGTGGAAGATGGACAGGGGTACCGAGTTCGGAAGCCAGGAGTGGTTCCACGCCCCCGTTTCCCCGCCCTCCGGATTTTGTTTAAGACCTCTCCCAGTCCTCCGGGACTAAGTCTGGTGTATACTGGGTCGCTCGAAGGGCAACGTGACCAGCTAGGGTGGAGAGGGAGGATGCTTAACTCTAGTCAATTTCTCCGAGTGGCCCCTCTCCTCCTTTCTCCTTCGAGCATTCAGGACTTCCACATCCCAGGCCCCGACTCAATACCCAGCTTCCTTTTCCAGTCCCATAACCTCTGAGGGTCCCCGGCAGGACTTCGGGTCCCTCCTGCTGCGAGCAGCTGAGGGTTAAGGGGGCGGGGCCGCCGCATTTTTGGGGAGTGAGCGCATCCTAGCGGCTGCCAGGAGGGGCGCGGGGCAGGGACCTAGCGGAGCCCCCGAGCAGGGGCAACAGGTGTTTGGGAGATTAAGGATCCAAGTCTTGTTCTCTGGGCGCCTCTTAAAGCAGATCTCTGCTGAAAGGAGGCTGAGCGGGGTCCACAGGGCAAGGAGGTCTGGAGGGGGTGGGGCAGAGTGGGAGGGGCGCCTGGAGATGGCCGGAGGAAGACCCAGGAGCTTTAACACTCCCCCCCCCCTTCTCTTCTTTGCACGTCTTTCTCTGCTACCCTCCCCCTTTCTGTCTCTTCTCCCAGACAAGTGAAGTAAAGAGAAAACAGGAATCAACTTGGCTGGAAGGGGCATCTGTGTGGATGGGATGGGGACGCCGGGGGAGGGGCTGGGTCGCTGTTCCCATGCCCTGATCCGGGGTGTCCCCGAGAGCCTGGCATCCGGGGAGGGCGCGGGGGCTGGTCTTCCGGCTCTGGACCTGGCTAAAGCTCAAAGGGAGCATGGAGTACTAGGAGGTAAACTGAGGCAACGACTAGGGCTGCAGCTGCTTGAACTGCCTCCCGAGGAATCACTTCCCCTGGGACCACTGCTTGGTGACACGGCCGTGATCCAAGGAGACACGGCCCTAATCACGCGGCCCTGGAGCCCAGCGCGTAGGCCTGAGGTGAGCGGCAGGGTGCGGGTGTGTTGGAGGACAGAATTACACGCGCGCGGGGTGGGGGTGGCGGTCGTGGGGAGGAGGCTGGATGTCTGGGATTGGCAGGAAATAGGGAGAGAACGGCTCAGCCGGCGCTCTCTTCTCCAAGGTTGATGGAGTCCGCCAAGCCCTCCAGGACTTGGGGCTCAGAATTGTGGAGATGGGGGACGAGAACGCGACGCTGGATGGCACCGACGTCCTCTTCACAGGTGAGGCTACAGATGGTCAGCGCCCCTGGGGACTTGGCACAAGGAAGCAGAGTTTGGGAGATTAGGCGATCTCAGGTCTTGATTCCAAACTCACTCTGGCCTTCAAACCTCCGTGACCTCCCGGATTCAGGCCGGGAGTTTTTCGTAGGGCTCTCCAAGTGGACCAATCACCGAGGAGCTGAGATCGTGGCAGACACATTCCGGGTGAGGAACCAGAAGCGCTTGGGGACGGAGCGCTGCCAGTGAGCCAGAGGGCTAGATCTGGGCTCCTTAAGCACCCCTAAATCCTTCTGCTCTCTCTAGGACTTCGCTGTCTCTACCGTGCCGGTGTCCGGAGCCTCGCACCTGCGCGGCCTCTGCGGCATGGGGGGACCCCGCACTGTCGTGGCTGGAAGCAGTGAGGCTGCCCAAAAGGCTGTCAGGGTGAGGCGGGGCTGGTCTGGTGGCGAAGGCGTGGCCAACAATGTGGGCGTGACTCAGAGCAGGGGCGGCAGGGAATTTGGCTAGCTCTCTTGGAATTGCTCTCAGCCCTTGTACTCACTAAGACGTTTGTCAAACACAAAATGACACCCTAGTAAACAAGGGGTACGAAAGAGTTGGGGAGGAACTGCAAAAGTAAATGGTAGCTAAAGTGCCTGAGACTTTGAAACCGACAATGTCTGACTCAGCCCCTGTTATATACTTGAAATCTTTATCTCACAAGTGTAACCCTTGTCCCAAGCCTCTATGTTCGGTCAGGCGGACTGAGCTGTGGGGAGCTCAACACCCTCTTCTCTTCCTCTCTCCAGGCAATGGCAGTGCTGACTGATCACCCCTACGCCTCTCTGACCCTCCCCGATGACGCAGCTGCTGACTGTCTATTTCTCCGTCCTGGGTTACCTGGTACCACTCCTTTCCTCCTGCACCGAGGAGGTGGGGACCTGCCCAACAGCCAGGAGGTGAGGGAGGGGAAAACTCCACCAACCAGAGAAAGCCTGTCTTCCCCGGTGGAGGAATACAGGGAGCCTTTCTGCAGAAGCCTGGGTGGGGTCAGTAGAACTGGCCAGAGGGCAGCCTGGCTCTGGTATCAAAACACCTGCGGTGTCCTCCCCACAGGCTCTGCAGAAGCTCTCTGACGTCACTCTGGTACCAGTATCCTGCTCAGAACTGGAGAAGGCCGGCGCTGGACTCAGTTCCCTCTGTCTGGTGCTCAGCACACGCCCCCACTGCTGAGGGCCTGGGCGTGGGGCTCCAACTGGCCAGGAATAGAGCCGTATAGGGGGTAGAATCAGGTAATAGAGGATGGGCGGTAGGTAGTGGTGGGGAGAGGCAACAGGACAAGGGAGGGCTTAGTGTGAAACAAAGAATAGGAGCCATTGGGTGAGTCCTCTCTGTCAGAACCAATAAAAGAAAATTGGCCTTTTAGGTAGGGTTGTGGCTGGTGTCTCACTGGGACAAAGGGATGGGGTGGGGCCGAAACCTGAAGCTGGGGTCAGTGCTGGGGAGGAAGACTCTTTTATAAAAACCCTCCTCTTCGTGTGCCCCTAGCTCACTCCCGGCCCTGCCACAGAGCTCAGGTACAAAGAGGGACAAGAGATTGTTGTGGGGAGTATACCCAGGGCAGAAAAGGGGATTCCACGCATGGGTGGGTCGTTTTCTGACTTCACCTAACTGTCCGGTGATTCAGACGCTGGTGGATTACCTGTCCTCCTTTGTTTGATGAAGAACAGTGTTTTCCAGACACACATTTGTTCATGGACTGTGGCTTTCACGGGGATTCAAAAGGGTTCATCTCCTGGTGTCCGGAAACTCAATAGTTCCCGATAATTTCTTATTATTTGGCAGATAAGTTATGCTGGGATGATTTTCGGGAGTCGGTTCGGATGAGGAAAATGGGGGTTTCTAGAGCCTCAAATTTTGTGCAGGAGTAGGTGAGCATTTGGGATGAGGATTGGAATCCTAGAAGAGGCTACATTTGAGTGAAATCCCGAGGATAAATAATTATCCCAGTGAGGGAAAAGGAATCCAGAAGATGGAATTTACTTCACCGGGCCAATGAATATTGTAGGGAGAAAATTGTGGAGAATCTAAGGTGGGCACGTGTGCACAGGAAATGACAGATAAGCCTGGTACACAAAGTGCCGCAGCATCTGGACCCAAAGCCTCAGGAGTGGAGCAGCGGTGGCCACTCGGGAGGGCAGAAGGATGAGACGGGACTGGGGGACACCCACGAGGCAATGATGAAAGCACACTCTAGTGACGGCACTAGACATGGAGACAGGTACAGGTTTGACAGTGACAGACGCAAGGCCTGCTGTAACTCCAGCACTGAAGGTGGACGCAAGGGGGTCAGGAGTTCAAAGCCAGCCTCTGCTACAGGAGAGCCAATCTTTAAAGGAAAGATGGGGGAGCTAGCTGTCCCTGTGTGGGAGAGGAGTTGGTGTGCCCTGACTCCCAGTTTCTGGCTTGGGCAACTTGGGTTGGTCACAAGAATGCAGAGGAGGGCCCAGGGGATAGCTTGGGAAATGGCTGAGTCAGGTTTGATAGGCCTTGAGTGAAATGCCTGAGGCCAGCTGGACAGGGTGCACTAGGGCTGAGGTCTGGGTTGGAGGGAAGGGGGCTGAGGGTTGGCTAGCTTCCTACAAGAGGAGTAAGGAGGAGAAAAGAGAAAGGCAAACAGAATAGCAGGATGTCTAGAAGAGAGATTGTGGCAACAAAGTAAACCAGGGTTTAGAGAGGGGTGATCTAAGGCCACGTCTGTGAACGCTATCATGCTGGCTAGGACATCCCTGGCAGCCTTACAGACAGCAGCTGCAGCTCGTAAGCACAGGGATGGAGTGAAGCAGGGAAATGAGGCCAGATGTATGCCTGAAGTTCAAAATGCTTGTTTGGAAAAGGAGAGGGAGCAGAGAGGATATCTATTTGGGAGTTAAAACCTAGACAGACAGCTTGATCATCTTTAGATGAAGGAAAGACGTTATAGGAGAGATGGGAGTGGCTGAAAAAGCCAAATATCTGGGAGACCCACACCGCAGGTTTCCAGACGCAGCCGAGTGCCTCTGTCCATGGTGCCTCCCCTCCAGCTGAGGAGGTTGTGTTGAGAAGGGAAGCCCCGGATTGGAGGGCGTGGCAAACGAGGGCCTCCTTTTAAACTACAACAGCATAAACAGTGGCGGCATCACCAGGAACCACTGTGGACGTCCGGCGGTGCCTCCCGAGGGCGGAGTGGTCCAGATCAGCATAGTGCAGACTCTGAAGGAGGTAGAGGGGGAAGGCAGATGGTCTCTGCAATTTGAACCCTTAGTTTGGAATCAACCCTTCGCCCCCGTGTGCAGCGGAGACTGTGTAGCAAGTCTGGGCTCTAACCTCCTGCTTAAACCTCCAGAGTCCTGGGATTCCATGGCTGCTCAACTGCAACCTAGCTAGGCTTCTTTTTTTTTAGTTTTTCGAGACAGGGTTTCTCTGTGGCTTTGGAGCCTGTCCTGGCACTAGCTCTTGTAGACCAGGCTGGCCTCGAACTCACAGAGACCCGCCTGCCTCTGCCTCCCGAGTGCTGGGATTAAAGGTGTGCACCACCACCGCCCGGCTCTAGGCTTCTTTTTTTTTTTTTTTTTTTTTTTTTTTTTTACCCCCTTTCCTCCAGGATTCTGGCCTGCTGCGTTCCTATCCCCAGGCCCTTACCGGCTCCTGCTCCACATGGCCTGAGATCTTGGACTCCTGCTCTAAAGGCCGCTGCGGCTCAGCATTTGTGACTGGAGCTGAGTGGGAGGGAGGGACACAGTTGAAGGGTAAAGAGAAAATGACCAACTTTGTCTGCTCCCGGCAAGGACTCAGACTCAAAAATTCAGGGTTAGGGATTGTTCGGGTAGGAGAGGGGGAAATGGGGTGCAGTTAATCTCACCAAATGTGGGGAATGGTCGAGGCAAGGGCGGGGGCGGGGACGAGTGCCTGTAAGGAAGTCCTTGGAGAATTACCAATCTCACCCTACTGGTTCCCCGGCCGCAGGCGGCGCCAATGAGAACTTTACAAACTGCAGTTTCCGACCAGCAAAACAATTTAGGCTCCTCCGGAACCTGGTCCCGCCCACTCGCTGGGTTTTCGGCCCTTCTAGTTTGGTTCCCGTAGCCTGGGCCGTCTACTCCAGCCTGTAACCTAGCACCCAAGGGCTGAGCCTCTCGCTTTCTTCAAACCACCGCCAAGCCTCCCGATACTTCTTGTTCTTTGCTTAGGTTAGGGTTCTCTCTCACTTCTTTCTGTCCCCCCACCCCCGCCCTGACTGGTCACACCCTATATTAAGCCAGGCTCCGCCTCCAGTGCTCACCTGCGCCGCCACCAGACCAAGCCCGAGACACCCAGTCCCAGCACCAGCCCAACGCCCAGCAGAGCAATCAGGACCTTGGGATACCCGGAACCTGGGGAGATGCGCGAGGCAGGGAGGGATGCCGAGGTCAGGGGTACGATCACGGGGTCCTGCTAGCTCTCCCGCTCTACAAGACTCCCCCCCACACACACACATTTGGTGCAGGCTGTGTGTCCAAACTAAGTGCCCCTCGGCATCTGGTCCTCGACCTACCGTGGGTAGATTCTGAAGTCTTGCAGTCTGCTTTGTCCCCTAACACTTGAAGCACCGTGCGGCTCTCATTCTCTTGGCGCCCTTTGCAGAAAAAGGTGCCAGAATCCCCGGCGCTCAGCAGGAGCTCCAGCCGCTTGATACCAGTGTCCAGGGACCGCAGGCGGCCAGAGAAGTGTGCGTACACATTTGGGGACGAGGCCCACAGGATCGGACGGCGCCCTTTGGACAGGCCCTTGCACGCAGGGAAACTAGGCGCCCAAGCCCAGCGGGTGGGATCTGAGACCCCTATGCAGGAGAGATTCACCCGGTCCCCAGGGCTGCCCTCCAGAGAAACTAGGGAAGGTGAGGGAAGTGGATGGTTAGGGCTAGTTTACTAGGCTAGATCTCTCTCTGCCTCTGTCTGTCTTTCTCCCCTTCCCCTCCCTCCACTCCACACCTCCTTTCTGCCCTTCCACCATTCTGGATCTTATACACAGCCCCCTCCACAGGCAACCCTAGCCTGTCTCAGTCTTTCCCGGCCCATCACAGCTCCCCAGGGATGGCCTACCCTCGGGATCCCCCTGGACCTTTGAGAGCAACAGAGGCAGCAGCAGAAGAACCAGGGCCATGGCTAGGATGTGGTAGGCAGAGGCGGGAGTGAATCAGCAGGGAGACCGGAGAGGGAAGCAGAGGGGCAGGGATAGGGCTACTGCGAGCAAGGGGCTCAGATAAGAGCGAGCAGGAGGCCGCCAATTCCTGGATCCCTCGAGGAATTCTCACAAACCAACTAGTAGTCTTAAATCTTTCAAAACTCTTTAAAATTTGTGCTCGGGACCTTTTGCATACGCTTTACGCTTTTTTTTTTTTTTGCAAACTAGCATGACCCCAAAGTCTGAGGCTCAGCTTCCTGAGTTCAAATCCTGATTTTGCCACACAGTAGCTGGGTGACGTGAACAGGTCACCTCATCAGGAAAATGGAGATGAAAGCATGCGAGAACCAAATAAATACATGGAGGACGCCCGAAACAACAGATGACACACGGGGATGCTCAGGGCATGACATTATTATTACATCTGCTCTTATCTTAGCTCCTATCTCACCTCTGGGTGCCCACAGTGTTCCTCCCTACCCAAGGTGCTCCTCCCAAACCCAGGGGTGTGAGAGCATTCTTACCATATTCCTGTGGTCCTTCAGGATCCACAGCCTCAACCCCCCCCCTCCGCTTGCTTCTATGACATCACAGAAACCCTCCATGATGTCACAAGCCTTTATCCGGGGGCTGAGCATCAGTTGGAAGCGGGATGGGGAATGAATCTACATAAATCCTGTCCGTTTCATCAGTTTCTACTTGCATGTTCCTGATCAATGCCCCCCACCCCCAGGGACTCAAGTTGACGATCAGCTCCGGCGACAACCCACTGCCCACTTCCTAGGAACCCCGGCAGAAGCTGGCACTGAGGCTGTTTAAGTCACAGAAGCTTTTCTGATGCTTCTTCAGAGCAGTGGGGCCCTCCGTGGGTGGTCCTAAAACCAAGATCCAAAATGGAGTTGGCCACTAGTGACACCTGTCCTCTCTCCCATCCCCCTCCCTCATCTCCCCTCCCTACCCAGGCTTGCTTGGACCCTCCCTACCTCTGGTCTTTCTTTCTGGCGAGCTGGGTACAAACAGGGAGGGAGGTACCACAGAGGGCAGAGGCCTGGGAGGGGCCTTTGGGATTATAAATTCCGAAAAGGCTGCTCAACTCTCAGAACTGGATCCCCGAGAATCCACTGACAGCTTCTGGGGCTGTGGACATTCTCAGCACCCTCACCATGAAACACCTGCTGCTGGTCACCCTGTCTGCCCTGTTCTGCTGCTGGGTCTCAGGTGAGTGCCAGGGGCCCCGGGCCCCACCCCAACCCTACCTGGCTTAGTCTCCCCAGCGCCTCTAGGACCAGATGTCTGAGTAGGATGGGCTCCTTGCTTCTTTGCTTTTCCTTTCTTTCCTCCTTTTTCTCCATTTCTTTACTTGTTTCTCTTTTGTCAGAGTCATGTGTTGTTAGAGCCCACTTAGCAGCAGGAACTCCATTTGTCCCTAGTCTGCCACTCTGCCCTGGGCTGCTACCCACAATTTCCTGAGACTGAGCTGCAACCCCCAGTCCCTTTATGCAGATGTCTAGAATAAGACCACACCACCTCCTTCTGACTGGTGGACCCAGAGCCAGCCACCAGCCCTCAGAACTCCCTAATAGGCTAATAGGCTGAAAAACGTCCCACTGTGGACAGTCCCCCAACTGTTTCTCCCCTTCTCTTCCCCCCTCCCCCCGTTACACTGTGATTGGATGGGACTGTCTCTGTGTTTTTTTTCCCTTTGAAACTGACTGCTGCTCCCTGCTCTCAGGGTTGCGGTCTGGATCTTGAAACCTGGAGCTTCTCTGATGTATCAGGGTTTTGTTTTGTTTTTGTTTTTCAACTTTTGGCTTGCTGGAACCCTGTCTTTGTGGTGGGTTATTCTCGGACCCTAACATTGTAGCCAAAGCTGATCTTCCTGTCTCTACCTCCTAAATCAATGCTGGGGTCACACAAACGTCACAGCTGGCTCTTGATCCGTTATTAAGGAGCCAGCTCTTCATTGCCATCTTCTCCTAGACCCATCTTCTCCTGGTTCACTCTTCCTACCTGCCATGGCACTGGGTCTCTTATTTCCCACTCCAGTGTGCCCCCTTCCTGGACACTCTCTGGCCAGCCCTATTCCAACACGTAGATCCCCAGGATCCAGGATACCAGCCTTCACTCCCCTTCTGCACTGAGCGGTGTTTTTATAGAAACCCCAGGATCCCACCCCACTCATTCCTCACTGACATACGTGACAATGGCTCTCTTCGCTTGTTCCTTCCTGCCTTACATTCCTGCGTCCCCACCAGGGATGCAAAGCCTTCTGGGTGGTTCCAGTAACTGCATACAGCCTTCTCAAGAATCAGAAACACTCCCTGAGCTTTCTAGAGAAGATGCCAGAACACTTACCCCTAAAGTGAGCTGGGTTTGCTGGAGGCACACTAGGCTCCTCCATCCGAGCTGACCATTCTGTCATGGAACTTTGCGTGCTCAATCCTGAAGTTGACCAACGCAGGAACCTTGACATGCCACCCTCTGCCCCCCACTCTACATCTTTGTCAGGAGATAAGATGATCCAGTGATACGCCTCGCAGATACCATCCCTCCTTCTGTAGGATGACAGCCAGAACAGTCGTAGATAGGATTCCTTCAGGACTGATGCGCCCCAAGCTCTTGGCAGAGGTCCAGCCAATCTAAAGCTGGTCACAGGTGGCTTTCTTACAGCCTCAGTTCCACACCATCTCTGAGGGCACTGCTGACTCCCACCCCTTGTGATTTCTTCTTTCTACCTCAAGTCGCATCCCCTAACCTCTTCTCAGTTGCCAAACTTTCCCCGTATCCCAGGCATCCCCAGTCCCGAGTTTTTGTTAGTACAATTCTTGACTCATCCCAAACAGGCTGGGTGGAGGAAGGTATTTAGGGTGTGTGGTTTCCACACAGAGAACAAACGCCTCCGCACAACGCCCACTTGGCGCTCACCTGCTCTGTCCCTGTGAACAATGCAGGTCAGAGACACCGGCTGCTCACTGGGCAGTCCTCCACCCTCACCCCTAACTCATCCCCAGGTGAGGTGGCTGAGACAGCCCATCACCTCAGCCTGACTTCTTATCTCCCCAGCTGACACTAGATGTCACTCCTGCTACAAGGTCCCCGTGCTGGGCTGTGTGGATCGCCAGTCCTGTCGTCTGGAGCCAGGCCAAAAATGCCTGACGACAAACGTGTACCTTGGTAATGTCCCCTTTCCTGGGAGGGAGGGACCAAGTGGGAGATACGAGCTGGGACTGAAGCCCATGCAGGGCTAGGACTGGGAGTTTACAGCAGGGACAGGATGTGGCCAAGGAAGAGTATGTGCCAGACTCTGACCTGTGTCTACAGACACTGTGTTTGTGAACGCCTGTGACCTGTGTCTACAGACACTGTGTTTGTGAACGCTTGTGACCTGTGTCTACACTGTGTTTGTGAACGCTTGTGCCGGCCCCATGACATGGGTGCTGGTGCTGGAGGCAGGGTTGTGGCTCACACTCGGGATGAGTAGAATGAAGAGAGAAAAGGGTGGAGCGGAGCAGCTTTGTGAGGAAGAGCAGCCCGTGGACACAGGCAAGCCAGTGCCTACTTCTGACGCCGCTTCTGTTGGCTCCCACCTCTAGGAAAGATGTGGGTTTTCTCTAACCTGCGCTGTGGCACACCGGAGGAGCCCTGTCGAGAGGCTTTCAACCAAACCAACCACAAGCTGGGCCTGAACTACAACACCACCTGCTGTGACCAGGACAACTGCAACAGCCCGGCTCCGAGGCCCACACCTGCGCTGGCCTTGGTCACCCTCGCCTCCGTGGCCGGCCTTGGCCTCTGGCTGTTACACTGAGAGTCACTCCACGGCTGCTCGCTTCCCATCTGTCAGCTGAGTCTTTCTCCCCGTGCCCTTAGAACTCCAGCTCTCCAGAATGTTCTCCCGACCCCTGGCTCCTTTCTTCTGAAGATCATTCCCCTATTGTCCCATTTATTCCATGGGACCGTGCCTAGAGTGGTCTTTCCAGCCGCTCGTCTCAGCTGGCATCCTCCGTTTTATACCAAGTCCTTCCCCACTTCCTTGGAGACCCCTCTGTCTCCTTCATGGGCCACTGAAAGGGCCCCCTACCTGGATGCACACCGGTGTGACCCTGGGATGAGCTCCGGAAGTGCTACCGTCTTGTCTCCAGTGAGTGATCCCAAAGGACCCGCTAACCTCGCTGCATGGGGTTGATTCATCCAAACCTCTGCTCATCACGGTCCATCTTGAGAAATAAATGTGGGTGTCTGGTAAAGTGCGTGTTTATTGTCAGAGGATGGACAGGCTCATGGGGCGTGGCGGCTTTCCTTTGTGAGCTCAACAACTGCGCAGTAGAGGCAGAAGAATCAGGAGTTCAGGACCCTCCTTGGTTAAATAGCAAGTTCAAGGCCAGTATGAGCCGCTTTGATCCTGTCTCAAAAAGCAAGAGGCAAGCGTGGCTCTACACCCTTTTAACCCCAGCACTTGAGAGGCGAAGATCTCTGAGTCTGAGGCCTGTCTGACCTCTACATAGCAAGTTCCAAAAAGGATGAGAGAGAGAGAGAGAGAGAGAGAGAGAGAGAGAGAGTTGTGGTGGTGGTGTAGGGCCCCTCTCCCTGGAAATTTCACTCCCAGCCCCACCCTTCGTTCTCCAGGGAGTTTCCCCACAAGGCCGGACTGACCAATGGAAGAGCAGGTTTTTCAAACCTTCCTCCTTTCCGGTACCGAGGGTGACACACTGGCGCTAGTGTTTGGAGAAACAACCCTTATCCTAAATTTAGACTACACCCTGCCAAGAAGCAGGTGCAGCCTAGCTTGAGGGCGCCCCAGAAAGGGCAGGAAAGGTGTTTACAGACAGAGAACTGGCTCTTGCTCCCGTCTAACTGGGTTATTCAGGCGCTTTCCTTTCCCAGGTCAAACAGTCCTGCTGGGAGCCGCGTGGAGAAGGATGGACGGGAAAGCAACCTGGACAGCCTGTCATGGCGTCCTGGTAACCCTCCACTCAGCCCAAGGCCCTTCCACTCGGTGACCCCTACGGTGAAGGAAGAGTCTCCCTGGCCTGGTGGCAGGTGCCAGGAGGCGCTGAGGACAGATGTTCTATTGTTTTGAGGGGTGTCATTGGATAGGGACTGCTGATGGGTCCACTGATAGACATTAGTGGGAACAGTAGAAATCAGCTAACCCACATACTATCCCTTCAGCCTTTTCAACAGAAGATACATAGATGCTGGGAGCAGTGGCGCACACCTTTAATCCCAGTACTCAGGAGACACAGGCAGGTGGATCTGTGAGTTCGAGGCCAGCCTGGTCTACAGAGTGAGTTCCAGGACAGCCAGGGCTACACAAAGAAACCTTGTCATCAACACAAACAAACAAAAAAATGGGTAGAGTTTACTAGTCAGCTCTAGATTAGTCCACACATTTTAAAGGCGCATAAAGAGGTGCTTATCTTCTCACCTTAGGCGTTCAGCCCCCTCAGTCCTGTCCCTAATCTCAATCCCACTATCCGCTCTACAGCCCTGGCAAGAGCCAGACTAGGGTGGTGACAGCTGCAGCCAGGACGCAGAGAGGGGTCACGGAGCTCGCCACGGCGCCGTTGCACAGGTCTCCGAAGCAGCAGTTTTTGTGGGTTGTGAAGGTCACGCCGCCCACTGACTCTATGTCCACTTGATTGCAGTGGTGGGTGGCCACACAGGCTGGGTGGTGCTGACTCAAGACCATGGAGGCTGAGAGAAAGAACGACACTGGGGTGTTGAACTCCTGACTGCAGGATCTGCCTTCCGCGGGAGAGCAGATGCAATTTCCAGGGACTTAAAGGGATGCTCTGTCCCTTCAGAAAACACCTGTCTCAAACCAGGGCGTTGGGGCCAACAGGCCTACCTAGGACAGTAATGCTATGGTGTTCCAAGAACCCAGGCTCACCCCGCCTCAGCCTCAACATGGGAAAATTGCTGCTGAACACAAAAGGGACAGTCTGTAAAACAATGTGTCATTGTGAACAAAGCAAATACAACTAAAGTCAGGCATAGTGATGCATGCCTGTAACACAGGAGGCTGAGGCAGGAGGATTGCCAGGAGTTCAAGACCAACACATTGAGTTGAAGGTAACTCTGGGCTATAAATTGAGACCCTGTCCCAACAAAAGAGCAGAGGTGGGAATGTAGCTCACTTAGTAAAGTGCTTGCCTAGGGTACAAAAGTCCTGGATTTGATCTGTGGTACCAACATAAGCAGGAATGGGTGGCACTCGCTGCGTACAGAAAGGACCAGAAGTTCAAGGTCATCCTTGGATTTGGCAAGTTCAAAGCCACCCTGGGACATAAAAGATTGTATCCTAAAAATAATTTAAAAATATAGAGCTGGAGAGAACCCAGTGACTGAGAGCATTGCCACCCTTGCAGAAGACCTGAGTTCTCATATCTGGCCTCTGAGAATGCCCACACGCATGTGACATACACTCAGACAGACACACTCAAACATAAAATAAATCTTTTAATAATAATAAATTGGGGCTGGGGGAATGGCTCAGTGGTTAAGGGCACTGGCTGCTCTTCCAGAGGAGTCTGTTCAGCTCCCAGGACCCAGTGTGGCTCACAATCACCTATAATTCCAGTTCCAGAGAATTTCACCCCCTCTTCTGTCCTCCAAAGGCATGAGGTACATGCAGAAAATACTCACGCATATGAAATGAAATTTAAAAATCTAAAAAATAAAATCATTGTAAGTAAGGCGTGGTGGCTCATAACTTGCATTTATCCTCAGCACTTGGGAAGTAGAAGCAGGCAGATGTTTGTGAGTTCAAGTCTAGCAAGGTCTATGTAGTGAGTTCCAGGTCAGCCGAGACTACAGATTCTGTCTCCAACCAACCAAGCAACCAATCAACCCCCAACCAACCAACAAATCAACCGACCAGCCAAGCAACCAACCAACCAGCCAAGCAACCAACTAACCAAGCAACCAATCAACCAGCCAAGCAACCAACCAACCAACCAGCCAACCAACCAACCAACCAACCAGCCAAGCAACCAATCAACCAGTGAAGCAACCAACCAACCAGCCAAGCAACCAACCAACCAGTGAAGCAACCAACCAACCAGCCAAGCAACCAACCAACCAGCCAAGCAACCAACCAACTAAGCAAAAATACAAACCAAACAAACAAAATAACTACTTTAAAATGAATAACAAGTCAATGGGGTATTCTGTTTGAGCTTGGCCCACTGAATCTAAGTCTAGGTTAATTGGTATCGTTACTGTCGTTTTCTGACTTTGGCAATGATATAGAATGCTAGCATTTGAAGAAGCTGGCTAGAAACAGGAGCTCTGCATTTCCTTTGTAATTTTCTGTTAAACCAAATGATTGCAAAATAAAATATTATGCGGGCACGCACACACGCACACACTCACGTATGCACGCACTCACTCATGTATGCGCGCATGGACGTATGTCCCTCCCCAGCTCTTAGCCAGTCCCTGACAAAGTTCGGAGTTTGGCTTAACATTTTGACTCTGGTCTTGGGAGACAGTTTCTTCCCTCGTAAGGACCTGTGAGGTTCTTCATGGAGAGTACGGGGAAAGCCGAAGGCAGATGGGCTGCTCAAGGCACAGTGCCAGGAGCCAGTAGGGTTAGACTGCCCTGCCACAACAGAGGCGCCATCTGCCCAGAGCCAGACCGAATTTGGAAGGGTGGTAGCCCGCAGGACTGAAGAGAGGGCTGGTTGGAAGCAGAGGGAAGTTGGGGGAGGGGGGTGAGAAAGGACTCACGTTGCTTGACTTGTCCAGGGTTGGGTTGGGGTTTGCGGTCCAGGAAGCCGCAGCGCTCACCCTCACCACAGGTGATCACGGTCTGCTTGCAGGAGCTGCTGGGGCCTCCACTGCAGTCATAGCACCGTGTGCGGTGTCCTGGCAGGAAAGAAGAGGTACATGACCAGGTCCTTAGAGGAGCCCTGGCAGAGAGAAGGACAGGCCTGTGCCAGGGGCTTATGAGCTTCTTCCTTACCCAAGGCAATGCCTAGCAGGGTGCAGAGTAGGATCCCGACCAACTGGGGGTTCATCATGTCTGCTTATGCCAGTAGCGCCTCTCCCTCCCGCCCACCCCCCCTCAGGCTCTACTCTGCCCGCCTTATATCCCCCTTGCCTTGAACTTTATAGGGCAATAAAAAGCAAGGAAAGAGTCTCCCCCAGCAGACACCAGGGCCCCAATGGGGACAGGGAGGGGCCCCACGGGTGACTCTGAGCAGCGTCTTCTGAAGCCCCAAAGGCTTCCTTTCTCAGCAGCAGATCTAGGGAAGACCCTCCCCGCAAAGGGGGGTCCCTAAGGCCCTTTCATACCCCGCCCAAGGGTCTTACCCTTTTAATGCCGTATCTGGAGGGTTTGGTTTTGTTCATCCACGTTCCAGATGGGTTGCAGAAGTAGGTTATAAAAACCCAGCCATCTTTGATTATAACCAGCGCTAAATGGATTCTCAAAAATGTAAAACAATGCCGTTCTCTCTGTGCGGTCAGAGGCTAATTATTGTTTTTCACAAAACTATGCTTCCTAACATATAATACGCTTGTTTTTATTTGTTAAATGAATCAAACTATACCTGACTATTTATGTAGCTAGCTGATTGCTGTTGTTTTGGGGACAGGACTGGCTTTGAACTTCTGGTCCTCCTGCCTCAGCGTCTCAAGGGCTGGGATCACAGGCGTGAATCACTATGCCTGGCTCCAATACCAATTTTAAATGCCATATTTATTTTATTGTCTTAAGTTATATATATTTACTGAGCATGTTTGTGTGTGTGTGCGCGTGCACACACATTTGCTGGTGGAGGCAGATTTTTACCCATAACCCAGGCTAGCCTGAAGCTCAGCATGTAGTCCAGGCTAACCTCAAACTTGAGGCAATCCTCTTGTCTCAAGTGTGCTGGGATCACTGGCATGTGCTGTCACTTCTGGCTTCTTGTTTTAATTCTTTTTTATTATTTTTTTTAAGATTTACTTTATGTGAGCGAATGCTTTGCCTACATGTAGATATGAGCCCTGCATGCATGCTTGGTGCCAGTGGAGGCCAGAAGAGGGCATCCAATCCCTGGACCTGGAGCTACAGGCTGTGAGCCATCATGTGGTGCTGGGACTAGAACCTGGGTCCTCTGCGAGAGCAGCAATGCTCTAAACTGTTGAGCCATCTCTCCAGCCTTCTTGATTTCCTTAACAAAAATGTATTCAGGGCTGGAGAGATCACTCAGTGGATATCGGCTGTCTTTCAGCTCAGCTTCTTTTCCCTGTGCCCACAAGGAACAGCAGTAACCACAGCTTCAGGGGCCCCAGTGCCCTCTCTGGCCTCTGGGCTCCCGCCCTTGCCTGCATATATGCATACCCAGACACATACACGCATACATTGGCCTGCATGTATGCATACACAGACACACACACAGACACACATACATTGGCCTGCATATATGCATACACAGACATGCATACATTGGCCTGCATATATGCATACCCAGACACACATACACACATACATTGGCCTGCTTATATGCATACCCAGACACATACACGCATACATTGGCCTGCATATATGCATACACAGACACACACACACATACATTGTTAAACATAGCCAGATGTGGTAGTGCAGGCCCAGAGACAGATGGACCTGTGTGAGTTTAAGGCCAATCTGGTTTACAAATCAAGTTTCAGACCACTCAAAAAAACAAAAATAAAAAAATTAATTAACTAAATTTATTATTTGTGTGTCCCGCTGAGCGCAGGTTTGTGTGCTTGGTCTTCTCTCTCCACCCTCATGTGGTTCCAGGGCTCTCCCTGCGCCCTGGGCTCACACAGCAAACACTCCTGCCTCCTGAACCAGCTCACCAGCCCACTGTAGCTTCTGATATTGTAAATATTGGTGGAATTCGTGTGAGGGAAAGATCTCTGGGGCCTTCGGTCCTTTCCAGGGTATAAAGAGGTGTGGAGATGTCTACCACCCTCTTCCTCACCATAGCCCTGGGGTGAAGTGTTCTTTTGTTGGTACAGGAATTGGAATCCAGGGCTGCCCAGTGGTATAAGCCCTCCAAGGCTGCAAGTAAATACTACAACCCCTGTCCCCACCCAGTCTCCCTAAGGGTCCATTCTCCCAAACTGGAAACCTAACCCATCTTCTTTTTCTCAGAGGAATGACTTATATCCTTCTAGCCCAGCTCCTGATTAATTCTTTTCTGCAAGGTAGTAAAGTCAGGAGGACTAATTACGGGGGTAGCAATGTCGAAGCTTGGTGGGGGGGTGAATCAAAGGGATGTGAGGTGGGGCAGGGCCTCTCGCAGCTGGGCTTTGTGGGTGGGGTGGGGTGTGGGAATGGGTGGGTGGGCTTTGTTGATTCCACACTCAAACAGGACTCTAACATCTAGGGCAGGAGAGGGCTCAGGATGTGACCTTGGGAGGCCTACAAGCTCTGAGGGGATAGACAGAAAAACAAAAAGAACCGAGAACAGCTTGAGCTGGAGAGAGGGAGGGGGACAGGAGGGAAGGCGACAGACACAACTCTAGGCAGGCAGACAGCGAGGCTGAGTTAGCAAACAATGAGAAAACAGGAGACCCTCAAGGCAAGCAGGAGCAGGAGTGAGAGACCTGGGGGTAGGAAGGGAGAGTTGCTGCATCAACACCCGGGCTCTCTCACTAGGTGTATTTGTTTCCAGATTCCTCCCTGTCTTTGGCCAGGTGTGTTCTGACAGGGGCGCAGATCATATTCTCCCAGACTGCTGAACCGGTCCTGCCATGGGTCCCTCGGGCGCCTTCCTCGGTATCCTGTTCTTCTCTGGGGCACTGGGTAAGGGTGGACTGGGGAATCCTCAAGGGCAGAGGGCTGGGACAGGCGCTTGTGGATGGAGGATGGAGAGGGAGCTAACATAGGTGAAGAGAAGTAGGGAGTTACTAGGATACCGGAAGGCTGAGGCCAGAGGAGCTGGACGCCCAGGCCAGCATGGGCTGTGTCAAACTGTCTCAAAAGACCAGGGGGAGGGGGAGCATTTGAGAATAACTATCTCTTCCGGCTACACCTTTGAATCTTCAGCCCGTCTCTATTCCACCCTTTTCCTCTCACTTAACTTTCGCCTTTCCCCTTCCTGCTCATGGGTCAGGCTTTTTGCATCACTCTGTGGGCTTGTTTCTCTTGGCCTCCGTCCCTGTCTGTCTGTCTTGACTACTGTGACCCTCTTTCTTCCATCTGGCTCTTTGCCTGCCCTCGTCTCCCTTTGCTACTTTATATCCCTGTCTTCTTTCATTTTGTGGCTCTCCTCTCCCTCTTCTGTGTCTCCCCGAAGTTGACCTCTGCTGACCCAACAGGTCTCACCACTTCCCCAGCCAGAGGACGACTCCAGTGTTACACCTGCAGCTTTGCCAAGCCCTGCAACCCGGTGCTCACAGAGTGCCAGGAGGACGAGGTGTGTGGCATCAGTGTTGGCACCTCAGGTAGGGCTCTGGTCCAATGGCCCTTCTGGGGTGGCTCCTCGCCTCTGTCTCCCTCCCCCCAGCCTCAGCGTGCCTCCTTTGTCCCACAGATCAGGAGGATGAGGTCATCGAGCGGAAAGGCTGCCTCCCTAGGACCCAGTGCCCTCTGCTGGGCCGTGCCACATACTGGTCACAGCCTTACGCTCTCCGCCACAAATGCTGTGAGCAGGACCTGTGCAATACGGCAGCCTCGCAGCGACTCCCAAGCCATCCCCACGCCACCCTCCTGCTCCTTGGTGCCATCTTTGCCTGGGCTGCACATATCTTCATCTAGCCTGTGAGCCGTGGCTGTCAACCCAGCACTCCGACGTCACCGTGGACCTGGGGACCCCTGCACAGATGTTTCTGAGGCACACTTGCTCAAGAGTGTGGCTTTGTATAAAGAACCCAACACCTCTGCAGACCCCTCCTAAGACCCGATTTCTACAGCTGGAGTTCCCATCCCAGCATGCATGTGTCTGGAGCCTCGCCCCATAAGAAACCCCTGCTGTCTTTTCTCTAGGTGTCCCGGGTCAGCCACCCTCAAGGAGCTGTGGGTCCCAGACAAAGGGACAGAAGCGGCACTAGGACTGGTGAGGGGTGGAGCTCTGTTAGGAAAGATGTAACTTGGTACCTGAGGGTCTCAAGAACGGAAGGCTACCTTGGGGAACTATGAAGAGTATATTTAATAAAAGGGCTATTGATTGGGTAAAGGTGTGGCTCAATGATAGAGTGTCTGCCTACCATACACGAGGACCTGGGTTCAATCCCCTGCACCACCAAGATAGATAGATAGATAGATAGATAGATAGATAGATAGATAGAGGCATAAATAATATGTAAGACTAGTAATAGGGCTGTCTGTGGGTCTGGTAATGCTCAATCGTGCGTAGTGGGGGTGCTGATGAAACACATGAAGGCTCCCTTTAAGAAGGAACTCTATAGGGCAGAGTAGCTGTCTCCTGGAATACCAGCACATGTGTAGGCATAAGAATCTGGTTTTGGATGCCAGCACCCACTTAAAAAGCTGCTCTTAGGGTTGGAGAAATCACTCGGTTAAGAGCACAGGCTGCTCTTACAGGGGACCTGAGGTTCAATTCCCATCACCAGCATGGTGGTTCACTACCATCTGCAATTCCAGTCCCGGGAAATCCCACCCTCCTTTCTGGCCTCCTCAGGCACTGCACACCATGTGGTGCACAGACATACATGCAGGCGAAACACCAGTGCACATAACACTTTTAAATATTAAAATAAAACACCGGGTATAGCCACACATGAGTGCTTGTAACCCCAGTGCCAATGGGGGCCAGAGATGAGAGGATCTGTGGGGCTCTCTGGCCGTCAGCCTAGCTCCGAGTTTAGTGAGAGTAAGATGGAGAGGAGAGACAGGACATCTGAGGTCTTCCACGCATGCACCGGTGTGTTTGCACGGGCGCCCATATGTCTTCAACACTCTCACACACAAGAACGAGCTGTAGCTGCCTTGTGGGTTGGACTAGCACACTGGAAGCTGAATGGTGCCCCGCACCCAGTTTCCATCTGTGTGGCTGTTCCTACCAACGTCTGAGCCTAAACCGCTGCAGCGTGCAGGCCGCAGGTGAGAAGTCCAGAAAGCCAAGCTTGAGACCAGAGTCGAAAGGACGCCTGGGAAGGACGCTTGTGTGGGCGTGGCCTCCTTTCCGGATGCCCACTGACTGCTTTGCAGCACTGAGGCCCGGTTCCACCTCACCGACCCAGAGCTCTTCTCTGTTCAGGAAGATTGGAAGTACTCGCTCCCTTCTGGAGCTATCTGCCAGCCCTTACACATGCTTCCTCTGCCCAGGGAGATAGCGTGGGACCCCTGGGGGTCTCTTCCCTGGGGCAGAGCTCCCAGGGAGCCAGAAGTGATAAGCTGCTCCTGCAGATAGAGACCCACAGGGGAGCCTGTGCGCCAGGGATAAGGGGAGGGCTGGGGCTGAGGACTGGCATCCGCCTGTGGGCCTGCTTCCCTCCTGCTCCGTCTGAGGAAGTGTGGGGTCTGATTAAAGGTCTTGTTCCCTCTCAGCGTCTCTTTGTGAGAACATGGGGAGGGAGTCTGGTTTACTTAGGAGGCCTGTTGACTCTTTTCCTTGTCCCCCGAATTTCCCGTTTGGGACTCCGGTTTTCCCCACTCTGCATCCGGGTCTCTCAACCTCTCTCTTCCTTACCCCCAACACACTCTTTTCCTCAGTTTCTCCTGACAGATGCCCAAGCTCTTCTCAAGTCCCTGGGCTTCCCTGTCCCTCTTGCCCTTGACAGAGACTTCAGACCCCATAATAAGTCTTACTATGGGTCACTCAACTACCGGCTGCTTCAAGACAGGAGACCACGCCTTTTTGTAGGTGACACCACAGAATGCTGTTACTCCCTTCCTTATGTTCCTGGCCCCTCCAGCTTGGTGGCTGTTGGAAGCCAAGAGGAAGTAGAGTCATGCCCTCAGCCCCACCCCCTCGCCAAGGTTTTCAGGGAGTCCTTCAGGAGCCAGATGCCAAAGACACAGGACAGCAGGTCAGGCTTTCCGAGGTAGATGTCACCAAGATCACCTGGTCTTGTGGATGGGTGGGCTGTAGAGTTTACAAAGCAATAAGCCGTGTTAAAGCTACCGCACCTCCTCAGGAACCAGGACCCCTGTCTGCAATCCAACCCTAGCTCCGGGTAACAATTTCCCACGCTCAGGCCCTCTGGGATGTAAACCTCCACCCCACCCCACCCCTGCCCAGTTGTTCCTTACCTAAGGCGGGCCAAATGGATGTTCTCATAGACCTGGACTTCAGGTTTGAAGTGAGGAATTGAGGGTTCTGGGGAAAAGAAGTCGTATGATATATAGAAGTCACCAGATAATTCAGGGATGTGTCCCTTGCCACTCTGGCAGGCAGAGGCCAGAGTCTAGATGTGAGGCCAACCTCTCTCACACCCGATGCCATCTCAGGGGAAAGACTCACCTCTGTTCCGAGACCCCTGGCCCCTCCGCCTCCAGAGCACGATGCTGAGGGCGATGATGGTGACTCCTTGGCCTGCTGTGAGCAACAGCATCAGTAACCAGGGCACATCCCAGCTCGGGACGGAGACACAGGCAGTGGGGGGAGTAGGTCCTGCGGAAGCTGCCATGACAGCAAGACAAGAATGACCAGCACTGAGGGGGTCTCAGGAAGGAAGCAGAATCATTCTGTGATGTCACTTACACAAAGGTCTGGTCTCCTGCCTTGAGCTGTCAGGAGAGGCAACCCTGAGTAAGACGTAGCTTCCTGGCAGTCAAGTGGGATTTTCCTGCAGAAAATACTCAGGAGCCCCCGGCCTGCAGCATCCACCACCATGAGACTTTGCTTATGGAAGCCAGGAGCCAATATCAGGGAGTAGCAATGAGGGGTCGCTCCCCTCCCGGTCACACAGAGACAGCAGTGAGGGGTCGCTTCCAGTCACACAGAGGTAGCTGATTCCAGGCCCAGCCCAGCCATAACCTCCCTCACAATGATTCACATTTTCAAAGAAAAGTATTGTAGCTGGGCCCACGATGCAAGCCTGCAAACGGGCACCTGGGAGGTGAAGGTGAGAGGTAAGGAACTGAGTTTATCATCGACTCAGAGCTGGAGGCCTGCCTGGGCTGTGTGAAAGCCTGTCTCAAAGCCGAAGAAAGAGGGAGAAGTTCAAGGCCAACCTGGTCTACAGAGTGAATTTCAGGCCAACCAGGTCTACAAAGAGAGATACTACCATAAAAATCAAAAAGACAGAGGCTGCAGAGACGGCTCAGTGGTTAGCATGGTTGCCTCACAGGTGTAAGGACTGGAGTTCGAATCCCCAGAACCCGTGTGAATACTGGTTGGGCATGGTAGCCCACCTGTAATTCCGGCTTCTGAAGGCAGAGACAGGGTCCCCGGAGCAAGCAAGTTGGTGAGACTGCCCTTATCATCCAGCTCTGGCTTCTACTGAGAGACACTGCTTCATTGAATAAGATGTAAGAGCAATGGATTCCAGACGTCAACCTCAGGCCTCCACAGGCCCGCACACTCGTGTACATGGGCGCACACATGTATGTGTTCCCACACATATGTAGATATGCAAACGTACATGCATGTCTCACACACGAAAATGGGAAAAGAAAGAATACACGTGCTTTATGGTTTCCATTTCTTCATTCCTGTGTTCATCCCTTCGCGTGTTCCTCCTCGAGGCCTTGCCAAGATCTTTTCTCTTGAAACATCGGCCATTTGCTCCTCTCTCTGACTTACAAATGGGTTATTCTCCATCTAGGAGCATTCATTCTCGACATGGCCAGTTATGCTCCTTCTGCTGCCGCCTTCCCTGTCAACAGGCCATCATACTACACTACCCGGGACCCCTCTTCAGAAGCCAGCAGCCCCAGCAATCCCTATGCACTTCCTCTCTGCCATGCAAAAGTCCTCAGAAATAAAAGATTAGTCTGTTTCTTCTGTTTGTGTTTGAGACAGGGTCTCGCACAGTCTAGACTGTCCTGGAACTCCTGCCTCGGTATCCCCAGGACTGCAGGGGTTGTACCACCGTGCTTGACTGATATACTGGTCCATGTCTTGTCTTTCTTTTTCTGGCAAGGTAGAGGGTGGTGGCGCAGGTCCCCTCTATATAGCCCTGGTTGGCCTAAAATTTGCTATAGCCCAGGTTGGCCTTGAACTCACAGACACTGACTGCCTCTGTCTCCTGAGAGCTAGGATTAAAGGCACAAGCTTATTTCTTTTATTGTGATACCTTCTTTTTGAGGGGAGGGGTTCAAGATAGGGTTTCTCTGTGTAACAGCCCTGGCTATCCTGGAACTCGCTCTGTAGACCAGGTTGGCCTCAAACTCACAGAGATCCATCTGCCTCTGCGTCCTGAGTGCTGGGATTAAAGGTGTGCATCACCACCACCCCGCTGATGATTTTTTTTTAAAGAAGTGGGGTTACATGGTGATGATTTTTTTTTAAAGAAGTGGGGTTACATGCAGTGCAGACTGGCTTTGAACTCACTATAGAGACAAGGCTGTCTCAAACTTCTGCTCCTCCTTCTACCCCCCAAGTGCTAGGAGGCATGTGACACCATGCCCTGCTTAGATTAGCCTATTTCTTTCTTGTGTGTGCATGCACATGTGTACATATTTGTATGTATGGGCATGCACATGTGTGTGTATCTGTGCATGCCTCTATGTGTGTGTGTACATGTCTGTGTGTGTGTGTGTGCGTGTGTGTGTATTTGTGCATGCCTCTATGTGTATGTGTGTGCATGGCTCTGTGTGTGCATGTATGTATGTGTGCATGCCTCTGTGTGTGTGCATGTCTGTGTGTGTGTGTGCGTGTGTGTGTATTTGTGCATGCCTCTGTGTGTATGTGTGTGCATGGCTCTGTGTGTGCATGTTCCAGCTAGTTCCAGGATAGGCACCAAAAGCTACAGAGAAACCCTGTCTCGAAAAACCAAAAGAAAAAAAAAAAGAAAAAAAAAGAAACAGAAAGGGGTATTCTCTGGGAACATCTTTCAAGGTTGGAAAAGGAGGCAAATCAGGCCAGGGTGAGGGTCGCTTTTCTGCCTAGAAAGTTTTTTTCTCGACCTCTCATGACCAACCAACTTCCCAGAGGAATAGCCAGACCAGAAGCCTTATTGGGATATACCACTATTTAGAAAGGGATTAATCTAGGGGTGAAGAGAGAGTTCTGCCAAGTAAACTGCTTGTAACACAAACATTAAAATCTGAGTTTGAACTCAGAAGTCACATACAAAAGCCATTCATGGTGATGCGTGCTTGTAGTCCCAACACTAGGGAGACAGAGACAGATAGACAGACCCCTGGGCTCTCAGGTCAGCTAGCCTGGCCTGCTATGTGAGCTCCAGGCCAGTGGGAGACCTGGTCTCACAAAATAAGGCGGACATCTAAGGAACAACACCTGAGGTTGACCTTTAGCCTCCACATACGTGCATGCCACAGAGCCATGCACACACACACAGAGGCATGCGCACATACATACATGTACACATACACACATGCACACACAGAGCCATACACACACAGAGCCATGCATACACATACACACAGAGGCACGCACAAATACACACGCACGCACACAATACACACAGAGGCATGCACACACACACATAGAGGCATGCACACAATACACACACACGCACACACGCAGACATGCACACACACAGAGAGGCATGCACACATACATACATGCCTCGAACTCAAAGAGATCCGCCTGCCTCTGCCTCCCGAGTGCTGGGATTAAAGGCGTGCGCCACCGCCGCCCAGCCCCTTTCTGTTTCTTAATTTCCTCCCTCACCTACCTGCCAGGCTAAAGCTGAATCTCTTGTTCTGAGGCATAAGGCAGCGGATGCTTCTCGGCTTACGGCCCTTGGCTTCAGAAAGCCCCTCTCCAGGACACACCAGCAGCAGGGCAGCCCCGTCACCCCAAAAGTACTGAGCATGTCCTTTCACAGGATTCCTCCCCTCTTGCCAGGTCACGGAGTCCAGACGCCTGGCGGGGACCACAGCGCACAGGAGGGCAGAGCAGGAGAGGCCGTCTGGAGACTTCACAGAGAACTGAGACCCTGGCAAGAGAGGGGGACACCTCAGTTTCTCGCATGGTCTTCCCCAGTCTCCAGTATCCAGAGAGGACTTTGCAGCCTCACTTACCTTTGAGCACGGAGACATCGTACACCCTCCAGTTCTGGTACTTGTGGTTCTGATCCAGCACCGTGCACCAGTACCGCCCAGCGTCTTCATCCCTGGGCCCCTCCAGCAATAAGGAGTAGTTCCCGAGGACTTTGAACCTGGAGTCATTTTCGGGTTTCCTCAGATCTGGAGCTGCCCTGTCTACTTGGATCTGGGCCACCAAGATGGTGGAGGAGGTTCCCGCAGGGCTGCGGAACCAGGTTAGGAGCTGGCCCCCACGTAGGGAAGGGGGTGAAGGACAAGGCAGCTCCACTGTCTCCCCGGAGACGACATAGACGGTGTGGATGCTGTCTGTGGAGAAACAGCGATGTCAGAGTAGAGCCTTCCGTGCCTTCACCAAACCCCTACTTTGTCTCTAACCGCTGCCTGCCTTTCCTTTTGAGTCTCCAAGCTTATTTCTCAGTGACTGCTAAGCAGAAAGGGAGATGGGCTGGGGGCATAGCTTAGTTAAGTGCTTGCCTGAGGTCTTGGGTTCCATGCCCAGCACTGAAAGAAAAAAAAAAAACTCTTATCTGTAGATGGAGCTCAGATGGGAGGGTGCTTGTTTATTGCATGAAGCACTGACCCTGGCCCCAGTACTAGATAAACCCATAAGCTGAATGTGCTGGTGCATGCTGGCGATCTTGGTGCATGCCAGCGATCCTGGTGCATGCCATTGAGACTGGTGCATGCCAGCGATCCTGGTGCATGCCAGTGATCCTGGTGCATGCTGGCGATCTTGGTGCATGCCAGCGATCCTGGTGCATGCCAGCGATCCTGGTGCATGCCAGTGATCCTGGTGCATGCCATTGAGACTGGTGCATGCCATTGAGACTGGTGCATGCCAGCGATCCTGGTGCATGCCAGCAATCTTGGTGCATGCCATTGATACTGGTGCATGCCATTGATACTGGTACATGCCGGCGATGCAGACACCCAGGGACAGGAAGATCAGAAGTTCACTGTCATCCTCAAGGATGACATCTTTAAAGAGTTCAAGGCTACCCTGGGATTCATGAATCCCAGTAAGACTCGGGATGGGGACAGGGGAGGTGGGGTAGAGTATAAAGGCTTTCCGTTTTTCCCTGCCAGCGAGAGGTTCTGAGACAGGACAGAAACAGGCTGCAATAGTTGGTGGAAGTCCTTATCTCTTCTAACATCTAAACATCTGTTTTTATTTCGTACAGGGAGCTAAGCCAGGGATGGTGCGCATGCCTGTAATACCAGCACTCGGAGGCTGAGGAAGGAGGTTACATTGTATAAGAAGTACCAAGCCAATTATAAGAAGTACCAAGGCAATTATAAAGCAATGTCCTGTCTCAAAACAAACATAATAATAAAATAAGGGGAACTGTAAGCTGGTGGCACACACCTTCGGTCGTGGCATGCAGGAGGCAGAGGAAGGAGCGGGGCTGGGGCTGAGTTTCAGGGCCATCTGGACTGCTGGGAGCTTTCTTATTGATTTGACAAAATACCAAGCTAAAGCAACTTAAGGGAGTGAGATTTATTTATTTTTACTATTTTTTTTTTGTCTTTGTTTCTTTTGTTGAGACAGGGTTTCTCTGTGTAGCCCTGTCTGTCCTGGAACTCGCTCTGTAGACCAGGTTGGCCTCAAATTCACAGAGCTCCACCTGCCTCTGCCTCCAGAGTGCTGGAATTAAAGGTGTGTGCTACCACTTAGATTTACTGTGGCTCGTGGTTTAAGGAACACAGTCCATCGTAGTGGGGAATTTATGGTGGTAGAAATATGCTTGCCTCTAGATGGACTTAGGAGTAGAGAAAGGGAACACCTCTCCTCTACTGGCTTTGTCCTTTCCCCATTTGAGTTAGTCCACTGGTTGGTGCCACAGACATTTTAGGTAGCTCTTCCCTCCTCAGTTAAAACTCTCCGGAAATGCCCTCATTGACACGCCCAGAAGTGTGTGTACTAGAAGAGTCACTATCACAATCACACTGCAAGACCCTCGTGTGTGTCCTCAAATCAGCTGCGTAGCTGAGAATTACCCAGATCTCCTGGTCTTGCTGTCGCCTCTCAAATTCTGGGATGGTGGGCAGTGCACACCCGTTTCTGTGGTGACAGGGATCAAACTCTTGGCTGGAGATGAACCGAGACCTCTGTACATGCTAGGCAAGCATTCTTTGAGCTACATCCCCAGACCTAATCCTTACATTTTTGAAAACACAGGAAACTGTACATAGCTAGGCCCATGGTGCCTCTGGGTCTCCCCAGGACTGAAAGCGAAGAGAGTGCATAGAGGAGACTGTCTGTCTTCCTGTGCATTTTCAGACGTGCTGAGGAGGAAAAGCAGCAGCCCCTCCCAAGTTTCCAAACAGCTGCAGGATGCTCCCCCCTTGCCCCTTACCTGCGGCAGCCTGGGGGTGCCCACACAAGAACAGGAGGAGGAGGGCGACCGTGAATGCCATGAAGAGAGCCTGCCAAGTTGCCCTGCTCCAGAGACCTGGTGTTTCCAGGGAGGAAGCAGAACACAGATAAAGGCCCCACTCCCGGGGCTGGAGCCACTGGGCCTTGGGGGCAATGAGAATGTGGGGGAGATAAAACTCAGTAGCATGTCTTCTGGGCAAAAAGGAACCTTCATCTTTAGCTCTTGGATGCAGTCCTGGTGTAAGCTGCTCTCGTGTGGAAGGAAGCCCAGATGTCTACCACTTCTCGGAGCCTTCTGGGCTTCTCATCTCTCAACCATGAGCCAAATGACTCCGCCTGTGACATCAACCGTGAGCCAAATGACTCTGCCTGTTCTCTCCTTGGAACCCAACACAGAACTGTTCATCCAGACCGTGCTCCATCAGTGATCTCAAGTGACTTTTCCTGTGGTTACCTGGCATGCCATCGACCACTCCAGAACCCCGAGGAGTGTCTTTAGCTGTTCCTCAAGGAGAAACACAGCAGGGGCCTGGATTATTCATGACCTAGACTCATGAGCACACCGTCATACACAACTAACTGCTTATGTTTAGTTAGTCTGCCGTTGCTGTTTTGTTTCTAGCCAGGGTTTTAGGCTGTCTGGGTTGTGCAGTTACGGATGACCTTGACTTCTTGATCCTCTCCCTCCACCTCCCAAGGAATGAGGTGGGGTGATAGGTACGCATCATTATGAGCAGCTAGTTACTCATTTCAAATATAGGGCAAGTTCTTTGTCACCGAGGGATATCCCCAGCCATTAATTTATGGGCTGGTGAGTTGGCTCAATGGATAAAAGGCCTTTGCCAAGGAGCCTAACAGCCTGAGCTCCATCCACAGGAGCCGCATGGAGGACAGAGAGAACAGACTCACTGGCTATTTTTTTTGTTTTGTTTTTGCTATTTATTTATTTATTTTTATTTTATATTCCTCTCCCTCCACTCCTCTCATCCCCTCTTCCTGCACCCCTCCCCTTCCCTGGCTAGCTTTTATCATCAACATTACACCTTAGGGCCCTGTGGGAAGAATGATTTTTTTTTTCTTATTTTTGAGACGGAGTTTCTCTGTGTAGTCCTGGCTGTCCTGGAACTTGCTCTGTATACCAGGATACTCAGAGTATCCTGAACTCACACAGAGATCTGACTACCTCTGACTCCTGAGTGCTGGGATTAATCATGCTCGCCACCACCTGGCTTGTTTCTTGAATTTCTTCCTTCAGTGACGGACTGTGATGTGGAAGTGGAAGATGAAAGAAACCCTTTCCTCAAGCTACTTCTGGTCATGGTGCTTCACCACAGCAGTAGAAACCCTAACTAAGCTGGGTACGGCAGTGTGCACCTTGAATCCCAGCACTCGAGAGGCAGAGCCAGGCGAATCTCTATGAAGCAGAGGCCAGCCTGGTCCAGGACAGCCAGCTCTACATAGTGAGATCCTGTCTCAAAAACAAAATCAAACAAAACAAGGGGGAGGAGGGTAAAGCCCTAACAAAGTGTCTTAGATAGGGTTAACATTGCGTGATGAAACGACGTGACCAAAGCAACTTGGGGAGGCAAGGGTTTATTTGGCTTACACTTCCACATCATAGCTCATCATCAAAGGGAGTCAGGACAGGAACCCAAGCAGGGCAGAAACCTGGAGGCAGGAACTGATGCAGAAGCCAAAGAAGAGTGCTGCCTGCTTCTTTTCATCACACACCTGCACAACCACTAACAGCCACAGGGTGGAGTCCATACTGGGCTGCCTTGAAATCTCCTTTGCGGGTGCCATTAATCCAAGACTCTAGGACATGAAGGCTGTATGCATATGTGGATACACACACACACACACTTTTAAAATTTGAACATGGTGAAACATAGTCTAATCCTAGCACTTTGAGACAGGGTCTCTCTATATAGACTGGCCTGGAACTCTCTGCGTAGACCAGGGTGGCTTGGAACTCAGAGACCCATAGCTAGACTCTTCTTGAAGTTCTTGTCAAATGCTCCTACTTTCAGCCAGCGATCGTTCCAGAGCATGCTGACATTAAGGGTTAGGAGAAAAAAAAAAAAGATTTAAACACGCCGGGATTTGTTTGTTTGTTTTAACCCTCGACGTCCAGAATGCTTCTGACCAACGCCTGCACGGCGCAGCACCTTAGGTCCAACTGCGCGGAACCCTCCTCTCGCGGCGAGAACGCCAGGCCGGACCCGGCCACGGGGAAGAGCCGGTACGTGCTGACGTCACGCACACGCACGCACGCACGCAGGGCCTCTGAGGCCGAGGGCGGGGCCGCCGGGGACCTGAGGCCGAGGCACAGCGGCCCGAGCCGGGCCATGGCGAAGCTGCTGAGCTGCGTCCTCGGCCCCCGGCTCTACAAGATCTACCGGGAGAGGGACACGGATCGGGCCGCGTCTAGCGTCCCCGAGACGCCCACCGCCGTCCCCGCCCCCTCCTCCAGCTCCTGGGTGAGTCGCGTCCCCCCCGGCTGAGGACGTGGTACGGTCCCCGCCGCGCCGGCCCCTCGCTGCCCGGACGCGTCCACTGTCGGCGGCGGGGGAGGCCGCTTGTCAAGCGGTCGCGCAGTCCGCCTGTGGGCGCTTCCCCGCTCGCAGTCACGCCGGGCCTGCCGCCGCCTCTCTCGCTCGCTCTCAGCGCTTGCGCCCGCTTCCCCCTTCGCGTTCCCCGGTTCGCGGCTGGTCCCAGTTGAGTCCGGAGTCGGCTTTTGCCCGTCTCCTCCCGAAGTCTTCCTCCCCTAGGCTGTGTTACAGACTTTCTCTCTAACCTGACTTTTCAGTTTGAAAATGACTTCCCCATGTCATGTCTCCACTTGTGCAGCACGAACCCACAAGCCTAGCCTGAAGACCAGGGTCGTCGCTTTCGCGACAGCCGCAGGTGGTGGTAGCCTGCCCTGCGAATCTTCTCTTCCCTTTTCATTGGCTGCAGATTGTGTTTAGGAGGAGTCTTTCCAAAGTGCCCACACCTCGTTACATTCTTCCCTGATGCCAAATACTATTCCTTCCCTCCCAGAATCGTCATGGAGTCTTTCATATCTACTCCCAACCCTCTTCCCGCATATACCCAATCATGTTTATATCCTGGTTTTGGAGGGGAAAAGAAAAGAGCCAGTCTCCCAAATGCTGCTTTCACTTTTGCTTCCCAGTCAGGGTCAGAGGTGAGAAGTCAGACTCAGGGTCAGTAGAGAGGGCAGGAGTGTCCCAGGAGAAGTGGCCAGGGAGGCTGGAGCCAGGTGGTACACGCTAGGACATTAGGGCTTCTGGGTGGGAGGAAGGCTTGTCAGCTGGCAGGGTCCCTAACAGGCCGTCTGTTTTGGCAGGATACCTATTATCAGCCCCGTGCCCTGGAGAAGCATGCTGACAGCGTCCTGGCACTGGTAAGTCAGTTCCACATCTGCGACTTGGTGGCTCTTGTCAGGCCCAGCCTGGGAGGTGGGGGTGCTCTGAGCTCTGTGCAGAAGAACTCACTAATGCATACGCACCAGCCCACCCCTAGTGCATACAGTTGGCACTCCCTCTCGGGGACTCCCTCTGTTGGAGCTGGTTGAGCCCTGAGGATGACACGTTCACTCTTGGGATCCTGTGCAGATCTCTGAGCCTGCAGTCCCCAGTGACCTGTCCTCTTGGCAACTAACCTCTTTGGCTACAGAGGCAGCTGTTCCCTCTGGCAGCGTTCCTATGGTGACAGAGCCTAGGGCTGTCTTGAGTGGGGCCAACTACGAAGGCTTGATTAACTGAGTAGACAGAGAGGCTGGTGTCTCCAGTGTGACGAAACTGTGTCAGCCTCCCTTGAGCTCTGACGCACGACCTGGCAACAGATGTTTGTGACCCTACTGTGTGCATGAAGTCAGGAGCAGAGCAGTTGAGTGTGTGGCTCCAGGATCCCCTGTCTGAGAGCCCAGGCCTGGGAGGCAGGACAGCGTGCGCACTGGCATGTTGATTGCCTGTCTCCGTCTCTGCTGCAGGCTTCGGTCTTCTGGTCCATCTCTTATTACTCCTCTCCCTTCGCCTTCTTCTACTTATACAGGAAAGGTCAGTGTGCGGCGGGGAGGAAGCGGGCAGGTCGCTGGCAGGACTTCCTCTTCCGCCAGGAGTCTTTTCCCCCTGAGTCAGTGGTTCTCAACCTTCCTAACCCCGTGACCCTTTAATACAGTTCCTCATGTGTGGTGACCCCCAACCATAACATTTTTGTTGCTACTTCATAACTAATTCTGCTACCGTTATGACGCATCACGTAAATATTTTTGGAGACAGGTTTGCCAAGGGGTTCGCAGCCCCCAGGTTGAGAACCGCTGCTCCAAGAGCATGGTTAACCCAGAGAGAGGGTCTCGGATAGAGCTGTGGGCCCACTGGGAGGGTTGCTGAGAGGCTGGTGGGAGCCTCATGTCGTCTCTCTTCCTCCCAGGTTACTTGAGTTTGTCCAAAGTGGTGCCGTTTTCTCACTATGCCGGGACATTGCTGCTTCTGCTGGCAGGGGTGGCCTGCCTCCGAGGTGGGTGCAGAGGACCTGCAGGGAATAGCTGAAAATAATCTCACTTCAAGTGGCTCACACCATACATCCCGTACGTGATAACCACCTAAACCATCGTGAGCTGGCGCCGCACCAGGGCTGCGTAGAGCTCCCCGGCGGTGCAGCCGAACATGCAGGCGCTGTGCAGTCACAGAGACGCCGTCAGGTGGACCGCATTAAGTTTCCACTTACACAAGGCTCAGAAGAAGCATGAGCTGCCTCCTCTAATCCCAGTGCTTGGCTCAGAGTGAGGCGGAGGTCGATGAGTTCCCGGCCAGCCTAGGCTACCTGGGCCAGCCCGGGCTGCTTGGGGGGTTTCTACCTCAGTCAGTGAATAAGTATGTAAGCAAAGGTCAGAACACGTGCATATGTGATGAGACCCAGAAGACACACACGTGTGGTCCTCTCAAAGACTGCCAGGGGCAGTACAGGCTGCGGAGATTCCTGGTGGGAGATGGCTCTGGTTTGGTTTTTGTTTTTGTATTTTTTACTCATTTTTAAAATTGTGCCTCTGTGTGTGTGTAGGTCTGTATTTAGGTCTGTGAGCATGAGTGCAGGTGCCTGAAGAGGCCAACGGAATCAGGTGACCCTGGAGCTGGAGACACAGGCGGTTGGTTGTAGCCACCTGATGTGGGTGCTCGGAACCAAATTTGGGCCGTCTGGGAGAGCAGTGTGTGCTCTTCACTGCTGAGCCATCTTTCTAGCTCAGTACTTTGCATTTTTAAAAAAGGATTTGTTTATGCACTTTTTATCAATGTGGGCGTGTGGGCCTGATTTGCCTTTGTGTATCACGTGTGTGGATTCTCTTGGAGGCCAGCAGGTGTCAGATAGCCGGGAACTGGAGATACAGGCCTTTGTGAGCCACCTGATGTAACAGGTGCTGGGGGTGAACCTGTGTCCTCTGGAGGAGCAAGAGGAGCTTTCGCCACTGAGCCATCTCTCCAGCTCTTATTTGTATTTTTAACTGAATTCTGCCGGGCGGTGGTGGCGCATGCCCCTAATCCCAGCGCTTGGGAGGCAGAGGCAGGAAGATCTCTGAGTCGAGGACAGCCAGGGGTACACAGGGAAACCCTGTCTCAGAAAACAACCAACAATAAAGCTGTATGTTGTCTGTGGATAGCCCAGGATTCTAGGTGTACCCCACCACACCCGGCTGCATTTACCTATCTTGATATAAATGGCACTCCGCACGAACTCTTCTCAATGTTGTGTGGATGCCGAGGAGCTCAGTTTTGCTTTCCTTGTAGCGCTTGCCCTCTGGCAGCCTCCCATTGGCTGGTTTGTTGTCTTTTCCCCGCCTCACCCACCTCAGGACTAGGAGCTGTGTCTGTCTGCCTGCCTGTCTCCGTGGGTAGGATGATCCCTAGCACACAGCACTGGCCAGGTCCGAGTGGGGAAAATGTAGAGCTCAGGCCTCCACCCTACAGGAGTGAGGAGAGGCATCACCACTGAGGCCAGCTGCCTTCGGGAAGAGAAAGGAAGCCAGCAGAAGCTCCAGGAATTGGAGGGGACAAGGATGGGTCAGGAGCAAGTGAAAAGGGGCCCCCGAGAGGCAGGAAGGGTCAGTGGGGCAAACGCAGGGAATGAGGGTGGGGAAGTAGTTGTGAGCAAGGCCTTGGCACCATGGGCAGGGGGTTAGGAGCCTGCAGAAGCAAGCTGGGGACCCCCTGGAGAGGACCGGAAGAAACAGGGTTAGCACAGGAGTAGTGAGGTTGCAGGGCTTTGACAGCTCTGCTAGGGAGACTTGCTGGTTTACAAAGACAGAAACTGCCAGGCCCTAGCGTCTGGGAGGCTGAGGCAGGAGAGTAGCTGAGAGCTCTAGGTCATCCTGGCCTGTGTTCTGAATTGCAGGCCACCTGGGCACAGAGTAAACCCTGTTTCCAAAACAAAACAAAAGAAATGAACTGAAGTGTCCGGTATGTGATGGATGCCGGGAATCTCAGGACGTGGGAGAGTCAAAGCCAGAACTTATGGCATAGTGAGTTCCAGGCCAGCTAGAGCTACACAGCGTGACCATGTCTCAGAAGAAAAAGCAAAGCAAAACATAGACGAACAGAAGGGCTGGTGAAATGGCGTAGCGGGTAAAAGCTCTGGCTGCACAAATCTGGAGACTTGAGTTCAGTCCCCAGATCCCACAGTGGGAACAGAGTCCTGACGCTGTCCCCGCGTCTACGCATTCCCACTGTGGCACTTGCATGCCCACCACTCAAACACACGCACACACAATATAAAATAATGAGACTCTCAGGAGAAGACTCCTGCAGCTGTGTCCCCACGTGAGAGGCCCTTGATTCCTTCTGCTTCTTTCTCCTTACAGGGCCTCCTTGCCCATTTCCAATTCATCTCTTAATTCCTTGATATCTGGCTTCCCAGTTCACCTAATACGTTTTCTGTCCTCTCTGTCCAGGCATCGGCCGCTGGACCAACCCCCAGTACCGGCAGTTCATCACCATCTTGGAAGCCACACATCGGAACCAGTCTGTAGAAAACAAGGTGAGGGTCCTGCTGCCCCGCCTCCCCGAGCTCCAGGCACCAGCTTCTGCTGGGTCTCTACCTTTCTGAGCGTCTCATGGATAGTCGGCTGGAACATTCCGCTCCCTCTCCACTTCCACGCTCAAGAATTGTCTCAGAATAGATGCCCGCAGTGTCCCCAAGAAGAGGAGCCCTCTGTCCCAGCGGCTCAGTTCTCTGTATACCTCACTGTGTGCCTTGAGCACCACACTGGCTTTGGGATAGACTGAATTGGGCAGGTGTGTGCACTCCCGTGCCCGCAGGGCACCGCATCCTTTAAACTGTGCCAGGCCTGCTGTTGCTGGAGTGACTGTCTTTGGGATGGGCTTTGGGGCCTCATAAAGCGACTTCCTGCTGCAGAGGGGTCAGGCATGCTGCACACGCCCTTCCCAGTCATCTGCTTCTTGGCCTCTCTTTCCTCAGATGTACAATGAGGTCATTACTCCAGCCTGGAGGAGTAAGACCAAGAGGCTCGTGACCTGTCAGTGACCTGTGTCAGGGTGCGACCTGTCCGGCCAAGCCTGGCTGGGATGCGCTTTGCTCGTCCTGTTTTCTCATTTACATTTTTGTATATTTTTTTCCATTGCTCTTTCTTAGTCAAGTTATTTTTGAAAATGTCAGAAGCATTTCTGTGGCAAAAATAAAAAATAATCCTCAAAATAGAGACCATGGAGCTCTGGGTATGGGGGAGGACAGTGGATTATGAAGACGCAGCCCCACTGCCCACAGCGCGTGGCCCAGTGCAGTAGGGGGACGCAGGCAGAGGTAGTGCTGGCCTCTGGACACCATGGCTGGGGAGTGAGATGGCTGTGCACACGGGGGAGCCCACTGTGGGTGTGACTGTCCTCTCAGCCGTGGGACCATCAGTTTATTTGGCTGGGGGAGTCTCCCAAGACACAGCTTCTCTGTGTAACCCCGTCTGTGCTGCAGCTTGCTCTGTAGACCAGGTAGGGAGGATGACTCGGCAGCCAGCAGCCCTCATCCTCCCCATCTTTGCACAGAAGCATCACCCTTAGGGTGGGTCAGCCTTAGATATTTCTGTGGTGGTTTTTTTATTTTTGTTTATTTATTTTTTTTTTGAAGACAGGGTCATGCTATGTAGCCCAGGCTGCCCTGGTATTTCCAGTGATCCTCTTGCCTCTTGGGTGAGGTCACAACATATGCTACCATGAAATAGAATCTCACTCCACATCCCAGGCTAGCTTTAAACTCCCTGTACGTCCCCGGCTGGTCCCCAGCTTTGGAATGTTGGGATTGTAGACACAATGCTGTTGTTCCTGGCTTTTTCAGTGTTTGGGTGGCTTTGGGAATTGAACTTAGGGCATCATGAATGCTAAGCAAGCACCCTACCCCAGCCTTAGATTTTCAGGAGCAGGGTTAAGAGTTGTAGAGATGGACGATGAGCTGGCCGGGGAGGCAGCTGCCTGCTCCCAGTATTGTGGTCATAGAAGTGAGAAGGCCCTGACCTCCGCTCACTGTCCCTGCCCGATAAGGGTGTCGAGGGTGACTGCTGGGCCTCCCTTCAGCTCTCACTTGTCCGTTCTTCTCCTTTCTGTGCCCACCGCAGAGGCAGCTGGCCAACTATAACTTCGACTTCAGGAGCTGGCCAGTCGACTTCCACTGGGAGGAGCCCAGCAGCCGGTGAGGCTCCAGTTATTCAGCTCTTCCCCACTGGCCCTGCCTCGAAACCCTGTCCTCATCCCTCCCGCATCCCCCAGACATCTTCGGTCTAGCCTGCTCTTCCTCACCCTGTTTTCTTCCTTGTTCCCTTCCTCAGCAAGGGGTCCCGAGGTGGCCATTCCCGCAGGGGCGTGGCCCTGCTCCGCCCAGAGCCTCTGCACCGGGGAACAGCAGACACATTCCTCAACAGGGTCAAGAAGCTGCCCTGCCAGATTACCAGGTAGGAAGTGGGGGGGAGGCAGCTGGGAGAGGGGATGTAGGCAGGGCCCCTGGACTCTGACTTTAGGGCCTCGTGCTGTGTGTCTCATGCGGGGGGAGGGGGGCTCTGTGAGGCCCAGGCTTCTTTGGGGAGCACTTGAAGAACCAGGATGCTGCAGGTCTACTGATGCAAAGCTCCTAGCAGCTGGAGGAGCAGCAGGCCCCTCAGTGAAGACAAGACTCCTTGCTTTTCCTGGACAGGCTCTAGGGTGCCACTGTACAGTTGTCCTGGCCCTGCTGCTCGACTCCCCATCTTGGCTCCCACTGTGCCTCAGTTTCTTCATCTGAGTGCCTACCTCACTGGAATTGTTAGATGGACTGGTAACACTGGGAATGGCAGCCACTTTCCCTGCCTGCCTGTGGGCAGAGCAAAGCCAGAGGGCTCAGTGGTGTGGTGGGAACTGGCGGTTTCAGACCAGCTGTGGCAGACTGACAGAGACCACACACACACACACACACACACACACACCCCCTCTGAGTGCTCAGTCTCACAGAGCAGGAGGTGTTGGGAGTGAGCCCCAGGCTCTAGGATGCTGAGGAAGGGGGTGTGACTTCTCTTTGGCTGTTGAAACCTGACCTGAGAAAAATTTCTGAGGGGATGTTGGCAGGGTGGCGCAGTGATGTGCTCGGCTTAGCCGGAAGTGGCTACATGCCCACCGCATCTTACCTACCGTGGGAGTCCACACACATGGTAGGGGTACTCTCCTTGGGCAGCTCCTGTGTGGCAGGTATTATCACCATGAACATAACAGCCGGGTGTCTGCTCTGACAGGAGTGTCGCCCAGGCTGGTCCTGAGTCCCGGTCCTCCCGAGGGCTGGGAACACAGGTGTGTTGCTGTGCCTGGCTCTGTGTCTGGAGGTCACTGTGGTGAGCCACAGGCCGCCGCTTGTGTTGTTTTGAGTGGTGCTGGGGTAGGACCACACTAGGCCAGTGCTCGGCCACTGAGCAGCAGTCACCCGGTCCTACTTGAGGACTAAAACTTTGAAACACGTTCATGTATGTATGTGTGGGGCCCTCCTACCGTGTGGGGCCCCAGCATTGAATGCCTGTTAGCAAATCCCTCTACCCAGTGAGCCATCTTGCTGGCCCTTGAGAACCTTTAATAAGGTGTATTTTTATGCATTAACAGAATTATATTTGAGAACTGCACTTATGTGTTGTACCTAGAAATTGTCTCGTAAAACTCTCGGGGTCATATCCAAGCAGTCCCCAGTTTGCTATAGTTTAGCTTTTGAGTTTTGGATTCGTTCCCTGCCTAGCAATGGGTAGCGTGGTCTGTGATGCCACGCCGGGCCTGAGTCACTCCCTCCTCAGCCGGGGTGCTTTCCACTGGTGTGGGCGGCTCCACCGTCATGTTCAGTCGGCTGTGGGGGCCAAGTGCTCTTGAGGCCTCTGTTATTTCCAACTTATGATGGTTTTTCAGGACATAACCTGACATAAGTCTGGGGGCATCTGTGCATTTGTATCGTACTGGGCCACAATAGAAAATGTTTTTGGTGTTTTCATAGCTGGGACCCAAACGCAGGGGCTCACACGTGCTAGGCAAGCCCTCTGCCACTAAGCTATGTATGGTCTGCATTCCTGAAACCCTAAAATGGATATCTTATAGAGAAGGTTGGGAAACACCGACTTGCACGGTTTCATCGAGGGCTGACAGTGGGCAAGGTTAGCATGCCCTGGAGTTTGACTGCAGGTGCTGAGATCAGTCCCTGGGCCGTGCTGGCCTGGCCTCACTACCCGTGTCCCCACAGCTACCTGGTGGCGCACACGCTGGGGCGCCGGATGCTGTACCCGGGCTCTGTGTACCTGCTCCAGAAGGCGCTCATGCCTGTGCTGCTGCAGGGCCAGGCCCGCCTGGTGGAAGAGGTGAGACTCCACCCGCTGCTCGCCCTGCCACCCTAGGGATGCGCTCCTGCCCTCATGACCTGTTTTTTGCATCCCTTGCTCAGTATAATGGGCGCCGGGCAAAACTGCTGGCCTGCGATGGTAACGAGATTGACACCATGTTTGTGGACCGGCGGGGGACAGCTGAGCCCCAGGGGCAGAAGCTGGTGAGAAGGGGCAGGGAGCAAAAGGGGGTGGTAGGGGGCAGTAGAGTCTAGGGCCCTGGTGCCACAGAGCCTTTGCTGTGGAACCTCGGTTAGGAATAATGTCATCCAAAACAAAACAAAAACTACTGGGCGGTGGTGGTGCATGACTTTATCCCAGCCTCGGAGGACAGAGGCAGGTGGATCTCTGAGTTCAAGACCAGCCTGGTCTACAGAGGGAATTCCAGGGCAGCTAGGGAAACACAAACTCTTGTCTCAGAAAAAAAAAAGAAAAAGAATAATGCCGTCTTCCAGCTCCCCCCAGGACCCCTCCATAGGTAGCTCTGAGAGGAGCAGGAGGAGGACATGGAGTTGGGGTTTCTCAGTTAGCACTTGCTTAGCTTTCATGCTCAGTCCCACGTACACTGAGAATGGGGTGCATGGCTGCAACCCCAGCACTCAGGAGTGGAGGCAAGGGGATCTGGGGCTCAAGGCCAGGGCTGTGTTGATGGTTCAGTGGCTGATGTTTGCCGTGCAAGCACGAGGACCTGATCTGGTCGCCAGAGCGCGTGTAGAGCATGTGCAGTGCAGCCCCAAACAGCACAGGCGGAGTGACAGCAGAGCTGTAGAGCACACACATGTGCGCACACACGAGTGTGCACACGAGCACTCACGCACACAAGTTTAAGGTCTCATCCTTGGCTACACGGTGAGTTGCAGCCAGCCTGTGTCTCAAAAAAGAAGTAAAAGTTCACAGATTAGAGCCTCATAGGGACGCAGAACTGTAGTGTGCGCAGTTCCCCCTCCCGAGTTCAGTCACCAGCACCAGAAACGGACAGAGGAAAGGACTGTCTGAGCTCGGGATGCAGGGAGCCCAGTGTGCAGGAAGCACACACAAAGCCTGGCATGGCGACCCTGTCACCCAGCACTGAGGAGGCAGAGGATCTGCCACATACTGAGTTCAAGGCCTGTCCGGGACACAGAAGACCCCGAGGCCCCGCAACAACAGACAGTAGATGGGTGGTGGTGCAGGCTGGGTCTCAGCGCCCAGGACGTCAGGCCAGCCTGAACTACCTAGCAAGATTCTGCCTCAAGAAAACAGAAAGGTGGCACACGTCTTTAATCCTAGCACTTGGGAGGCAGAGGCAGGCGGATCTCTGAATTTGAGGCCAGCCTGGTCTGCAAGAGCTAGTTCCAGGACAGCCAGGACTGTTTCAGAGAAACCTATCTTGAAAAACAAAACAAAACTCGTTTGCCACATGCTCACTGCCTGTGAGGTGGGACTGTGTGAGCTCACTCTGTGGGTGAGGGACGCGTCCGCAGAGCGGCTGCCAGCCTCGCAGCTCGTGAGCAGTGCTGGAACCTGACCTGGGTGGCCAGGCCCCAGTGTTCTGTGTCCTTAAGGTGGCCCTGGCCTGGAAAGACTGCAGGAGTCCAAGGTTTGGGCTCTCCTGGCTGTCACTATCTCTGAGCTTCAGCTTGGCGCAGCGAGCAGAAAAGCTGTCTGCTCACCTCAGAGAATCATAGGCCCTAGGGCATGGGCTCTGGGTCCACCCCCAGCTGTCCCCAAGCCCCCTCATCCCGTCCTGTTAGAGGCCTCCCTAGTGGCCTGAGCTCAGCCTGGATGGTCTGATGGTCTCCTGAGGCTCTGCTGCACAGACTGCCCACCCCAGCACCCTCCCAGCCCTCCTCCTCTTCCTCCCCAGGTGATCTGCTGTGAAGGAAATGCGGGCTTCTATGAGGTGGGCTGTGTCTCCACACCCCTGGAAGGTAGGCCCTTGGTTCATGTTCCTCCCTGGCACTGCGGTGGCTTCGCCATGCTTGCCCACCTGCCCTTCCCCACAGGGTCACACAGCCTCACCTCCTCCCTGTGTTACAGCTGGCTACTCCGTCCTGGGCTGGAATCACCCCGGTTTTGCTGGAAGCACGGTGAGACCCTGTCCGGAACCCGTCAGTCGTGCGTGTCTTCCTCTGCTCAGCCATGGGAGGAAGGAAACTGGTGCCTGTTTCTGCAGGGCCTTCCACGTGTGACCTGGGTGCTGGGGACGCCGACAGGCAGAGGGGCACAGTGGGTCCCATTGTCTCTGTGTTACAGGGTGGCTGCAAGAAGGGTCCACACTAGGTGAGCTATCCTCAGGCTGACCCCGCCCTGCTTCTGCCCATCTTCCTGCAGGGGGTACCATTCCCACAAAATGAGGCCAATGCCATGGATGTGGTAGTTCAGTTTGCCATCCACCGCCTGGGCTTCCAGCCCCAGGATATTGTCATCTACGCCTGGTCCATCGGAGGCTTTACTGGTACCTGCCACCCCTGCTCGTCCCACCCAACACAGATTCTTGTCCCTGCCTAGGAGATGTGGGCACAGGCATTGGTAGCTCCCAAAGGGGGAAGCGGCTTCCAGAGAAAGAGGTTGAAGTGGTAAGAGGGACCTAAAGGAAAGGTGCCTGCTTGCACTTCTGAGCCACCCCCTTCTTGTTCTGCTAGCCACGTGGGCAGCCATGTCCTACCCAGACATCAGTGCTGTTATCCTGGACGCCTCCTTTGATGACTTGGTGCCCTTGGCCCTGAAGGTCATGCCCGACAGCTGGAGTGAGTGCAGCTCCCTGCTTGTTCTGGGGAAGGGGTGGCCAGCTCTGGGCTCTTCCAACTAGGTCCTGTCCAGTGGACAGGGGGTGGGGGGTGGACAAGGTCTTCATCTCTGCCCCTCTCACCGTGTCCCCCCAGGAGTCCTGGTGACCAGGACTGTGAGGCAGCACCTCAACCTCAACAACTCGGAGCAGCTGTGTAGGTGAGAGCGGCCGTCGCCTTAGCTGGCCACCCTTCCCCAGGCCCTTTGAGACCCTGAGTCTGCTCACTCACAATCTGGCAATGACAGGTTAAGCCTGGCTCCACAGGGGGCTTCCCCAGGGCCAGTCTGAGCCTGCACCCTCCTGCCTCCAGTGGTGGCCTGGCTCTCTCTGAGCTCTCCTTCTTGCTGCTCTGTTCCGAAGGTTCCAGGGCCCTGTGCTGCTGATCCGCAGAACCAAGGATGAGATCATCACCACCACGTGAGTGCCCTGGCTCCACACACATGCACACGCACCACGTGATTGCTCCGGCTCCACACACACACACACGCACACACATGCCACGTGATTGCCCCGGCTCCACACACACGCACACACACACAAACACACAGGTTTGCGCACACCACGTGAGTGCCCGGGCTCCTTCCACCTATGCCTACCATGTACCCAGGTCTGGAGACTCTCCCTGCCCAACCCCTCTAACCAGGGTATCTCTGGCTGCCCCCAGGGTTCCTGAGGACATCATGTCCAACAGAGGCAATGACCTCCTGCTGAAGCTCCTGCAGTTCCGGTGAGAGCTGGGGATGTGCACAGCTAGGCCAACAGCAGCACAGGGAAGAAGTGGGGTGAGGGCTGAGCAGTGCAGTGGTTCCATCCCATCCTGTCCCTCCCAGGTACCCTCGAGTGATGGTGGAGGAGGGGCTCCGAGCTGTGAGGCAGTGGTTGGAGGCCTCGACCCAGCTGGAGGAAGGTGAGGCACCTGAGGTGGGCTGGTGGCAGGGCCTGGTAAGGAGGTTGTTGATGGACACTCTTCTTTCTCCCTGGGCAGCTTCCGTTTACAGTCGGTGGGAGGTGGAGGAGGACTGGTGTCTGTCGGTGCTCCGCTCCTACCAGGCAGAGCATGGGCCCGACTTCCCCTGGAGTGTGGGTAAGGAGGACCCGCGTGGTGGGGTGTGAAGAGGGGGACGGATCCTGGATCCCAGACAGCAGATTTGAGGGCCTCTTCTCTGCAGGGGAGGACATGAGTGCGGATGGGCGGAGGCAGCTGGCGCTGTTTCTGGTGAGCTCGGGAGTGGGGTGAGGGGAAGGTCCTGTGGAGGGGGCTTATGCAGGGCTGAGGCATGGGCTCGGGAAGGTGCTCACATCACCCACTCTGCCTTTCTCCAGGCCCGGAAACATCTGCACAACTTTGAAGCCACGCACTGCACCCCACTCCCAGCCCAGCACTTCCAGATGCCCTGGCACCTCTAGGGACCACATTTAGACTCTTCTGGAAAGACGAGATGGGAGGAGACATGAGGGGACGTTTTGTGATTCTCTCTATTGGTGTTGCTGTTTATAGTCTGGGCAGTGGGGCTGCCCCTCTGACCACTGTCCTCTTGCACGTTCCCCTCATCCACATGGACGCACTAGCGCTCCCCAGCACACACCCTGCATTAAATGAATGATTTATTCCTAATAATTAATAAAAAGGTATTTTTTCTACTATCTGGCTGATTGTGAGGTTTTTTTTCCAGATGTCCAGGCAACTAGTGGCTAGGGTAGGGGGAGCAGAAGCCCCAGAGGGTGAGACTTTGGGAAACTCCACTCGGGCCAGTTTAACTCTGTCTCTGCCACAGCCATCATGAACTCGGTCTCCAGTCCAATGCAGACCATTTCAGCACTGTGCCCAATGTATGCATAGAGCGCCCCGGCTCTCATGGCCTCCCCAGGCCTTGCCCTGGCCTGAGAGGTGGCCCTGATTGACAACAGCAGTCTGTAGGGGACAGTTTTGCCTGCTTAGCTTTTCTCCTTAAGGGACCTGTCCCTCTCCCCCCTTTTGTTGCTCAGCTCTTGCTGTCTCTGCAAGGGACAGGGAGTGACCCTGCAGCAAACCTAACCCTGTCCAGCAAACAGGGCCAGTGGGGAGCCGGGGCCAGGTGCCAAGTCCTGTCATCCTGTCCTGGCCTCCTTCCCTTGGAAACCTCTCTTCAGGTGAAGTAACCCCAGCTCCTCCACTTGGGGCCATTGTTTTCAACAACGGTGGTTAGCAAAGGCCTCAGCATTTTGTGCTGGTTAGTCTTGGGGTGATCCTGTGTGGCCTCTGATCCCAGGGTACCACTTCTGACCATGGCAGAGGCCATCAGGCAGCTCGGGGACAGTTGACAGTGTGCTGAATCCTAACACAGCGGAGGGCTGAGAATGAGGGTGACATGACAGGTTTGGGGTGAGGAGGAGGTGGCCCTCGCCTCCGAGTGCTCAGCTTCAGCACAGCAGAGCTGCTACCGATGGGTGGATGATAGGATGTGGGGATGCGCTCTCTGACCCACCCTGGGAGGTAGACACAGTGGGAAGTGTGTAGCAAGAGTGTTGCTACTCTTGGCAGGGCGTGGTGGCACACACCCTTAGTCCCCACACTCAGTAGACAGAGGCATGCAGATCTCTGTGAACTCGAGACCAGCCTGATAGCACCATAACATAACAAGTTCTAGGTCAGCCAGGGCTACTTAGTGAGACCCTGAAAAAGGAAAAGAAAAAAAAAAGCCAAAGCCAGTTTGCTCATGAACCTTACCCTGCAGTTCCAGGCCAAATTCGCTAAGGGACACGCTAGTCCTAGCTCCCCTTCCTTGGGACACAGAGCTTCCCTTCCTAGTCAGCCGTCAGGAACTGCAACCCCACCACCTCCCAGAACTTACACATCAGGAGGAGCCCTTGGATATCTAAGGTGGGAGGGGAGCAGGGCACACACCCCGTGAACTCTGAGTCACCCAGGGGCTGTAGTCCACTTCGGATTACTCCCCATGTCCCACAATCTCAGGGTGTGGCCTGGCTCACTGTTCATTTCTATACACCAAGGCTCCGCAAACATAGGCAGTTAGCTAAGAAGTCCCACCCCACAGGCTCTGGGTTCTGGGTGCCAGGTGAGGCCTGCCTGGAGCTGGTCTCCAGAAGGATACTTGGAAAGACAACCCGAGCAAAGCGGGGAGGTACCCAGACCTCGGACAAGGCCACATCTTTCCTTCTTCTTACTGACCAGGTCATAGGCCTGCTCTGTCCCCAGGGTGGCATGAAGATTTTCTCCAAGACCCACAAGGGGCATGTTTCCTCCAAACCTGTCAAAAACAGGCAAGGGCCCTGGAGTGAACGGCCCTTGAGGGTGGAGGCCCAGCCATTGCGAAAAGCTGGGTCTCTATTTGTCCTCCTTGTGAACCTAGGCATCTATAACATTCAGCTAAAGGCTCGGTTTCTCCGAGTGACTTCCCCAACAGAAGCTGGCTCTCCAAGGCCGTCACTGTGGCCTGTCCCTTATGTAAGTGTCCCTCCCTGTCCTCAGACCCTGTCCATCCATCACTGTCTGTTTACCTTCTGGTATCCCTTGCCACAAGGGATGTGGTCATCTGCCACTGTCACCATGATGTCTATTGCAAAGTCCTTCTACCTCAGGAAAACCTTCAGGGAAGCTGTTGTCATAGAAATGAGCCGTCGGGGCCCTGGATCCTCTCCAGCCATCTCCAACAGCTGACAGGAACAAAGGAGTGGGTAGTTGGGGAGGTGACTCTGCTCCCGGACCACCGGGAGTTGGACTCCTAGCACCTACACGGTGGCTCACAGCTGTCTCAGATTCCATGCCCTCTTCTGTCTTTCACAAGGTACAGAGACATACTAAGCAAAACAGCCAAACACAAAATGATTTTATTTTATGTACATTGGTGGTTTTGCCTACATGTGTGTCTGAGTGAGGGTGTCAGACCCTCTGGAACTGGAGTTACAGACAGTCGTGAGCTGCCATGTGGGTGCTGGGAATTGAACCTGGGTCCTCTGAAAGAGAAGCCAGTGCTCTTAACCACTGAGCTATCTCTTCAGCCCATAATTTTTTTTATTATTATTACTAAAAAGAAGCAAGGGCTTTAGACCACACGTCAAAGAAAGGCTCACGGTCTTGAAGCCTTCCCAGGGCTGCACCTGCCCTGCTGGTCCCAAAGCCCTGACCTCCTCGCCTTACAGTGGGAATTCAGCCTTTGCAGCTCCTTCCTAGAGCAGGCAGCACAGGTGGCAGGGTCAGAGCAGCCCGGTGCGCTCTTCAAGACTCCTCTGGGGCTGGAGCAATGGCTACATGGTTAAGAGCACCCGCTCTTCCAAAGGTCTGAATTCAATTCCCAGCAGTCACATGGCTGCTCACAATCATCTATAGTGGGGTCTGATGCCCTCTTCTGGATAAAGTTGATAGAGCACGTGTATACATAAAATAACTCTTAAAAAACAAAAAACAAACAAACAAACAAAAAAAAACTCCTCTGATTTCTGACACTGCGCTCATTCAACAGACATTTGTATCCTGCATCGGTGGGTGCCAGGTACTCCCCCGGTCCTCCAACAGCACAAGCTTCTTTTAGTCCCTCTTCCTCCCCGGCCCATCCCTCATGGCCTCGGGTTTCTCCCTCAGTCCTGAGATGTGACGATTCTTGGAAAGTTCTGACAGTAGGTGAGGGCCTGGGCTGCGGGGTCCAGCCTCGAACTTCCAGACAGACAGTACACTAAAGCAGCTTGTGTCTCCCGTGGCACGATGTGGCTTAAAGTGGAAAATAAAAAAGTTCCAAGTCGGGGGCTGGAGAGATGGCTCGGAGGTTAAGAGCACTGATTGTTCTTCCAGAGGTCTTGAGTTCAATTCCCAGTAACCACATGGTGGCTCACAACCATTTGTAATGAGATCTGGTGCCCTCTTCTGGCCTGCAGGCAGACATGCAGACAGAACACTGTAAGCAAAATAAATAAATAAATCTTTAAAAAAAAAAAAGTTTCAAGTCTGCAGCCTGCCTGGGGAGAAGAAGCAAGCGGTCCAGCTGTGGGTTCCCGGGACCTGAGAGGAGGACTCACTTGCAGAGCGCACCTAGAGTGTCTGCGGTTTCAAGCGCTGAGAGCTTGGCTGCTCCAAACCCTTAGGCTCCTCCCTGCTCGTGCCTACCGAGCTGCGCCTGCGCGGGGCCAACCCTGCATCCTCCCTGGAGCCAATGCGCTGTCAGCCGTGGAGCACTTAGTCCGTGGGTGCAGAGACCAGACAGACGCACTGACCCTTATCCGAGCCCGGCGGGGCAGAGAAGGGTGGGCCCTGGTCACTTTGTGCAAGCCCGCCCCGCTTTTTTGGCCTCAGGTTCTGTTCTGTCTGACACAAAACCTGCGCTGTTTTCCCACTGTAGAGCTCGGCGTGGCGGTGCTGTCACCCCAGTGTAGGGAGACTGGGGCGGGAGGACCAGTTCCAGGACAGCCCGGTCTACGCAGGCCACACAGAGCTCCGGAGCGAGAACTTGTCTGAAACTTTACTAAACATACTACCTCCATTCATTCACAACGTCTGCGCACTCACCTCTTTCCCAAGCCCTATGTCGCCATCTTTTGGCTGAACCGAGGAATTGCGCTCAGTCCTGGTTTCGACTCTGCCCGACATTGAAGGAGCCACACAGCTAGCGTTCCCGCCCCCTCTCTCTCATATCATCTATCTACAGGGTCCCTCTATCTACTGTGCCCTCTCCACCACTGCCCAGTGCCCCCCCTGCTCTGCCCTCCCCACCACTGCTCAGGTGCCCCCCCCCACGCTCTGCCCTTCCCACCACTGCTCAGGTGCTCCGCCCACACTCTGCCCCACCACCACTGCTTGCTACCTTGTCCCCCCCCCACTAGACTTCCACCAGGGAGAGCAGGGACTCTACACAATTGCATCTCCAGCACCTAAAGCAATGACTCGAAGGGTCAGCATGCTGGTTTGTCACCTGAACAAAATCTAGAATCACCTGAACAGTCTCAGTGGGGATTGTCTTGGCCACATTAATGGAAGTCGGAAGATCAACCCAACACACAGGAAATCCCCAGGAAGGGGATTCTGAACTGTACAGAATGGGAAAAGCCAGGCAGGAGAGATGGCTCAGAGGTTAGCAATACTTAGAGTTCAGTCATGAGGATGGGAGCAAACTTCAGCTCCAACAAATGTGATGCCCTCTCTGACCCTCTTGGCCACCCACATACACGTGTGTGCATACAGACAGACAGACAGACACAAACACACAAATCTTGGTGGGGGAGACGAAGAAAGTGAGCAAGCCCCAGCATACACACAGGAATTCCTTGTTCTCTATCTTGACTGTGGTTGCAATACGGCCAGGTCTCTACAGTTCTTGTCCCTGTGATTTCCCTGCCATGGTGGACTGTGACCTGGGATAACAAGCTAAAATAAACCACTTTGCTGGACATGGTGGGGCGCACCTTTAATCCCAGGGCTTGGGAGGCAGTGGCAGGCAGAGCCCTGTGAGTGAGGTGCCAGCCCGATCTACAGACCGTCTACAGTTACATAGACCCTGGCTTAAAAAGTAGACCCTGGGGCTGCATCAGGAAAGGAAGCAGACAGACAGTCCATCTGGGCTCCTTCCCCAAGCCAGGATGTTAGGGCCCCGAGTAGCTGTGGCTGAGGACATTCTGCACTGGCCGTTCTGGTGGTGTTTTCCACCTCAGAATGTCGCCTGTCTCCCACCAATGGAGGGAAGTTGTGCTGTTCCTGACAGGCACTGCAGCCTATGGGTCTCTGAGGCCCCCAGCTCCATAGTTCCACCCACGCCATGTATGTCTCTTACTAGTGCTGGTCCTGACGAACTTGGTTCTTGGCAAGAGTCTCCAAAGCAGTGGTTCTCAGCCTTCCTAACGCTGCAACCCTTTAATATAGCTCCTCATGTTGTGGTGACCCCAACAATAAAATTATTTTCGTTGCTACTTCATAACTGTGATTTTAATACTGTTAGTAATCATAATGTAAATATCAAGCATGTAGGAGATCTAATATGTGGCCCCTACGGCAGGGGCGTTTGGAAGGGTTGCCAGGCCGGCCAGATGGAGAAACTCTGGGCACTTCTGTCCAGAAGCGGCAGGCATGATACCACAGGAAGGTGTGGGAATGCCCATGGACTGCTGGTCACCCCAAAGGAGAGTCCTGGGGACAGCCTCACTGCTTGATCAGCAACGGTTTTCAGGAGATATTGAAGAGACCTCCTGCAGTTTCAACACAGAGTGGGGAGGGCTGGGGCCCGTGCAGAAGAGAGAACCAGAATCCGGAAGGCTGAACGACCCGGAATTCAGAGTGCTATCTCACCTAGTGGCCAAGCCTCTGCCCCACACTAAGCCATCTGCTGGGCCTAAGCTCTTAACATGCGGTGTGGACCAAGGGCCAGGGGAAGAGGGGACCTCATATGCATGCAGTTCAACCTTCAACATGAGCCTGTCCCAGGGATGGGGCCACCAGAGTAAGGCACGCAGCATGGGGCTATTTAAGTTCTCCTGTCTACAGGACACAGACTTTCTCCGTCCCCTGATAGACTCTTGCTTTCACCTCTGATTATTACGTAAGAAACCACATTCAGCCGTGGTGTACAACTTTAATCCCAGCACTCCGGAGGCAGAGGCAGGCAGATCTCTGTGAGTATTAAGCCACCCTGGTCTACAGAGGGAGTTCCAGGACAGCCAGGGCTACACAGAGAAACTTTCTCAGAAAACTAAATTTAAAAAGAAGAAGAGGAGGGAGGAGGAGAAAGCATGTTCACTGGAGACAACCCTAGCACCCAGGGTCCTGAGGCAAGAAGAGAAGCGGAAGACCCGCCAAGGCTGACAGTGAGACCTAATGAGGCTGTGTGCGGCATGTTTAAAAAAGAATGCGGAGCCCGGAGTGGGTGGCAATCCCAGACAGTGAATAACTAAATCTAGCAGGGCTGTGATGGCCAGCGTCACCTGCGGATGTAAATTAGGTTTATGGAGCAGCGGTGGGCGCAGTTTATCCCTCTCAACTATGCTAACTGGATGCGTGTATTTGGGGGTGGGGATATAACAGAGTAGAGGTCTGGTCTTTTGTTGGAGATTGGATCCCTAGGAAGCCCTGGCTGTGCCTGCCACTATGTAGACCAGGCTGGTTTCAATCGCAGAGATCGTTGGCCCCTACCCGAGTGCAGAATTGAACGAGAGTATCACCAAACCTGGCGAGAGTGATGATTCTTATTTTAATAATTAATAATTTGTTTATCTTTATTGAATGTGCACCGGTGTTTTGCCTGCATGTATGTATGTGGATGCTGGATCCCCTGGAACTGGAGTTACAGACAGGTGTGAGCTGCCGTGTGGGTGCTGGGAACTGAACTGGGGTCCTCTGGAAGAGCAGCCAGTGCTCTTAACCTCTGAGCCATGCTGCAGCCTGAGTGAAGATTCTTAATGAGGTCCATTTAAGTCTTGGGGATTTGGAGCAGGAGCAGTGGGGTTGACACAGGATGGAGGCGGTTGGACTCTGACCAGGCGTCTCTCTGTGCTCTAGATCAAACCAGTCTTTTCTGAGGGCACAGACATCTTTTAACCAAGTGCCTGCATTGCTATCAATAGCTACTGGAGACCAAAGAACTGGGGTGCCCTCTGGGATCAGATGTCTGCCTCGCACCCTGCACATAAAGAACAGTAAGCAGACCCTCCTCCCACACAGGACCCCTCCTCCCACCGTGGGCCAGCCCCCACAAGCTTCTTCCCAGTCTCCCAAGCCACACACTGTGTCCTGTTCCCACAGCCCTAAGACATTCCAGCACTTTCTGTCAGAGCCACCACCTGTCTCCACTCCTGCTCCCATTTCCCCCTCAGCCCATACCAACTGCCTCCCACTTTCCCGCAATGCCCAGCCAGAGGGCACTGGGCTCTCCAGAGGCACTGGCCTTCCCTCAGTGGTCAGCGTTACTGCTGGCAGAGACTCGGGCAGGAGGTTTGGTTGGTCCTTCGCTCTCCCATCACAGATGCTCGCCTGGCTCTCCCCATCAGCTTCAGACCTCCTCCCAGATGGTTCACCAAGGCGCTCTTCTCGTCTCTGGGCGCACATTTGAATGTCTCCACCTCAGGTCCAGGGTGGAAGGCTGACAGCATTCCCTCCCTCCTCTTCTTCCTCCCAACCCCTACCTCTATTAAATTAACAAATTCTCAGTGCGGAGCTGACGTAGCCTCTGATGTGGGCATTACTTCCCTATTTGAGAGAAAAAAGCGGGTGCAGAAAGATCCGAAGGCTTGACTGAATCTAACAGACCGAGTCAGTCAGAGGAGGCTCCAGAAGTGGGTCTTCTTCTGGTCCCAAGTTACACGATGTAGCCAGGCTGGCCTGGAACTTGTGATCCCCCTGCACCAGAAAGCCTGGCTAGGACAGTGCGGTTAACACTCCCGGGTAAAGCTGGCTTCATTCCCGACACATGGCTTCCTTCTGCTGCAGTACTCGTGGGCAGATGCCAGGCTGGAGTGTGCAGATTCGTTTTCTCTTTTTTTAAATATTTCACTGTGTGGCCCAGGCCAGCCTCACACTGATCCTCTTCAACCTCAGCTTGCCAGTGCTAGGATTTCGGCCTTCTGGCCTGGCTTGTGTACATTTTATCTGGCATTTTGAGACAGGGTCTCAGTAGCCCACACTCCCTAGGTCTTCTGCAAAAGCAGTAGGCATTCTCGACCACTGAGCCATCTTCCATCTCTCTCTCATCTCTGTTGCTAGGAACCCAGGACTTGTGCCGGCCTCCCACCGCCGCCAAGGTACACATCACTCTTCTACCCTCTTCTGCTGGAGAAAACCGCCCAACCTTCAATACATCTCCGTGTCTTTCTCCAAACGGTCATATGATGCTGGACTCCCCATCCTTCTCCCCAAGCCCTGACTCACAGACTCCACACTCCAGCCGATGTTACAACTTCAAATCCTCTGGACTTTCCATGGACAGTTTTAAAGTTCATTGCTGATGGCTCACTGGGCATTCCCTCGTCCATCCATCGGTTCAGAGAGGGGAGAAGGGTGCTAAGGACAACCAGGTGGCCTGAGGATGGATTTGGGGGCTCTGTACGTGTGGTCCTTCCCTAGGCAGCTGCTCTAACCTCAAGGTGAGCAACTGCCACGGCAGGGAGCAGATGAGCGATTGCCATGCCCGTGCCTCTCCGGTGTTTGTTTGGCTTTTGGATCTGCTGCTTCCTGGATTTCTGTAACAATCCGACAAACAGGAAGACTATGGGCCAGGACAGCAGGAGCCACTCTCCGGATCTCCATCTGGGCCCGGCCCTCACAGCAGCACTCCCCCATCCCCCACCTCGGCCCCATCCTGGCCTCTCCTCTCCATCTGTACCCCACTCTCCGGATCTCCATCTGGGCCCGGCCCTCACAGCAGCACACACCCCCACCCCTCGGCCCCACCCTGGCCTCTCCTCTCCATCTGTACCCCACTCTCCTACCTTTACTTTGCCCAGCTCCTTCTCTTGTCCAAAGTCCTCACGTGTCTCCCAAAATAAACTAGTACGCAAAGTGTTTGGTTTGTCTCTTCTGGAGGTGAAGGCCTTGGGAGCTGGACTAGACTGCCATCACTGGGCCCCTCTACAGCCCTGCCTTGGCATCTCCAACTCGGCGGCTCCAGACAAACAAAGCTGAAGAGGACCTGGATGCCCTTATATGGTGAAGGTTGGGTTGGTTAGGTTAGCAGACATCCTGAGAGGAGCTGGGTGTGGGCGAGGGGCTGTATTGGCAGGATACAGGATACAAACAATGAGGTAGACCCAGGGAGGAGGTGCCTGAGGAGGGGACAGGAGGCCCAAGGGAACAAGGAAGCCTTGCTTTCCAACTCCCAGGTTTAATGTCCCTTCTTAAGCCTCTCTCCCAGTTTGACCAGTTAGAACAGTGTAAATCTTGGAACATTGTGGAATTTTCTTTTTTAAGGGGGGTGATATGTGTGTGTTTGCGTATACCCTGTTGTGATATGTTGTTTATAACCTAACAAATAAAGCTTGCCTGGAGCATCAGAGAAGCAGAGCGGCCAACCACTAAAGTTCTTACCTGTACCAATGCTCAGACCAAAAGGGGTCTCTATGAATCCTCAGACTGCATCCCCAGACAGCACCCATCTCTTCCTGCTTTATATTCCTCTCTCTGCCCATTCATATCCTTTCCCGTCCCCACCTCCCCAGTGCTGGGATTAAAGACGTGTGTGTGACTCCCAGGTACTGGGATTAAAGGTGCGAGCCACACGGTTTCTCTTTTAAACAAGATCAAGCCCAGGGTGGCCTTGAACTCTGAGAGTGCTGGGATTAGAGGTGTGTGTCGCCTCTGCCTGGCCCCTATGGCTAACAGTGGCTGGGCACTGCACTCTGATCTTCAGGCAAGCTTTATTTGTTAAGGCACAAACAAAATCTACTACACTGCCCCTTACTGGCCTCCAGCTCCGATTCTCCTTCCTCCAGTCTCCAGGGTTAGGATTACAGAGTGTGCCACAGCAGGCTGCTATGAGTAGGGTCTCCCCCAAGGCAGAGTGCTCAGGAAGGGACATGAAGGCAGCACTGGAAGCTGGCCAAGGTCATGCAAGTGTTTGCGACAGCTTGTGCTCTGCCGAGAAGGTTTACAGAACAGGCTGCTCGCATGGTGTATTCAAAGGCCGAGGCAGCATCGAGTTGTGTCAAGGCCAGCCTAGAGACCACTACTCAAAAGGCCAAAATAAAGGCAAGATCTCTATATCTCTATGTACGTCTGTCCTCAAGTACACACACCTGTGCGTCGTCTCCTCAATCAGGGGCGGCCTACCTCCAGCACAGGTGACCACCGCAGACTCCAGCACTGCCTTCCAGGGGCAGCGGAGAAAAGGGGAGCATGGAGGCTGAGCCTGGTTACGCTCGCTCACCTGAGAGCACAGATGCCTAGAAGCCTGGCTGATGTTGAACTGTTGAAGGGATACAACCGATCACCATGTAAGCACAATGAGCACTCTCTGTGTTGGGAAATTTTCCCTAGTTATTATGGTTTGAGACAGGATCTTTCGTGTAGCTCTGGTGTCCTGGAATTCCTTATGTAGGCCAGGCCTGCCTCTGCCTCCTGAGCGCTGGGATTAAAGGTGTGCCCCACCATGCTTAGCCAAAACTTCTCAGTATTTAGTGTGATATCGCATCAGTGATAATCCTAGCTCTTAAAAGGCAGAGGCAGGAGGGTCAGGAGACCTCATCTTTTTTTTTTTTTTTTTTTTTTTGGTTTTTCGAGACAGGGTTTCTCTGTGGTTTTGGAGCCTGTCCTGGAACTAGCTCTTGTAGACCAGGCTGGTCTCGAACTCACAGAGATCCGCCTGCCTCTGCCTCCCAAGTGCTGGGGAGACCTCATCTTTTTTTTCCCCTCTGGGGGTGGAACCATATTCGCCCCTTTTAATTGATATTTATTGAGCTCTACATTTTTCTCTGCTCCCCTCCCTGCCTCCCCCCTCCCCCTTCAGTCCTCCCCCAAGGTCCCCATGCTCCCAATTTACTCAAGCGATCTTGTCTTTTTATACTTTCTACTTCCCATATAGGCAGGAGACCTCATCTTTAAAAAATCCCAAAATACTAAAATGAAGACTTAACAGCCGCAGCCCCTAGCATGCTACATCTACCACAAGGTGCCGGGATTCTCGAAATGATCCAGGTTGTTCAATAAACATGAATGTGGGCTTGAGTTTCTCCTCAGGTGAAATACCCGGCACCACATGGAGCTAAATGGCAGTTAGCCTAGTCTTGGTTTATTATGGAGGGAAGTATGGCTGGAAGGCTAAGAACAGCCCCCCGAGTTAGGAGAACTGAGGACTCGGGAAGATGACAGACCAGGATGGTGGAGCCAGGTGGGACAGGTTGCCATGCCAGGGAACCTGCACAGGAGCCCACCCTCTGCCCTTCCTGCTAGAGCCTGGCACTGGGGCTAGAGAAGAGCAGAAGCCAGAGGATAAAGAGCCGGCTCTGAGGAGATGCAGCACACGACCAGACTGAGGTACGTGACAGTACACGCATGAGCATAAGTCACACCTGCTTGAACAGGAGGGAAGCCACACCCAGGTAGTCGGAGTATAGAGGAGGCCTAGGAGACCACAGGGATCGAGGACTGCAGAGCAGAATCTGGAAGGGGACGTGCCGGAGTCTAGTCTGGGGAAGAGCCTTAAGTCCGGAACTGTTGAAGAACAGGTGTATTTGGCGCAGGTCGGCAATGGACACACCCAGCTCCAGGGGCGGGGTAAATGGGTCTGGGCTCTCAGACATCTTCTGAACAAACCAAGCGGGAGCAAGGAGAGGTTCAGGGCCTGGAAGAACCGGTGGATCTGGGACTCAGACAGGGCCAGATGTCTTCTTGGGGCCCAGGCAGAGGGCTGCGGAGCTGGGCACTGGACCAGTTGCAGCAATCATACTGGCTGCAGTCAGCCTTACACCAGTAGTCTGAGTGGTGGGTGATGCATTTTTCTTTACAGCGGTAGGAACTGTAGTGTGCGTGGAAGAAACTTTAACATCCAGAGGGCGGGGACAGTTATAATCCCTGTTAACAGTTCCCCTCAGCCCCAACCCTAACTCCCCAGCATTCATGCAGACCAGGTTCACTTGTCCGCACGCACACACCCCCTTCCATCAACCCTCATGCTGGAGACCGGGCCACGCTGTTCTACCACAGTGGTAGATGGTGCTAACCATGCCGGGGATGAACAGCTGTTGATGGTGCCCTTTTCTAAGCCAGAAACGGAGCCCAGTGAAGGGTCTTCCAAGAGGCACAAGTGGCAGGTGAAGACATTGGCAATTGGGAGCTTGGCATAGAGGAACAAAGGAGATGGAGCCAGGACTCACTCTCAAGTACACCCAGGGCCCCGGCTCCACCCTTCCCCGATTTGGTTTCCCCTTCCTCCCAGAGCCTGGCCCCATTTACCCTTTCCCATCGCCGAGTCTACCATGGTCAGTACACCTACAAGCCTTCACTATGGAATTCTGGGAAGAGGCGCAGCTCCTGTGGAATAACCCCAAACCCCACCTTCCTAGGACCACACTCCTTAATCCTCAGAGGCAGAATGGTTTTGACAGGCGGTCTGGGAAGAGCTGCTGGGGGTGCAGGGCTGGAGAAAGATCTTGACCGGGAAGATGGCATGTCCTCCCACAAGGTCTGGTTCCCACGTGGGCACCAGCTGGATCCTTATAGGTGTTTTCATCCTAGACATGTCCGAAAGATCGGTACCCCACTTCAAGGGCCATGGGCAGTGCCTGTCTCTGGCATGCCCCGCTGTCCACCTACACCACAGGGTTGGCTCCCACTGTGAATGAGAGGTTGGCCAGGCCTCCCCATCCCTTCCAGATGGAGGTGACTCAGCTATCCCAGCAGGGGCACAGGCTAGCACAGCAACTATTGTGGCTGTGCTTTCTCTGGGTTCTGTTTACTTCAGGATTCATTTCCTTTACCAGCGAGACTGAGAGTATGCCTTATGAAGCCCCCAGAGCAGAAGCACAACCACGGAGCAGATAGAGGTTTGAACCCTTTCTTTTCAACCCTGTGTATTACCTAGAACGTGCTCTGCACCCTTTCCTACCTGTCTACTAACATCACCAACCCATGCAGCCTCAGTCTGTGCTATTCCCACCCAGGGACGATGAACTACGAGGGTCCCCGGAGTCTGGCACACCACCATCTTCCCTTCCTCAACCCTACCCAGCAAGCACCAGCAGACGAGCTCATGGCCTTTTCTTCCAGTTTATTTCATGTTCCCACCACGATAGCAATCCCTTTAATTTAAACTAAAAACCATAGAATTCCTGAAAGGGAGCAGCGAAGGAACGGTGGTGCCAAAGACAGAGGAAAGGTGCACGGGGCATCAGCGAATCGTCTTGACTGGGCTCTTGAAGTTGCTGGCGGCTTGGAGCTGCAGCTGGTAAGCCATTGGATGAATCTTGAAACCATAGAGCCTGGACCGGGCAGAAGTCAGAGAGGCAGCGGGGTAAGTTCCCTTCCGTCCCCGCCTGTGGCCAGCATCCCACCACTACCACAGCCTCCGCCTCATGCCTACTCAGGAGTCCCCCAACTTCCTTGCTCATGAATACTTGATTTTTTCCCCCATGAACACTTGAAAATGTACCCCCTTTTTTCAAAACAGGGTTTTTCTCTGTGTAACAGTGCTGACTGACCTGGAACTCGCTTTGTAGACCAGGCTGGCCTTGAACTCAGAATCCGCCTGCCTCTGTCTCCCAAGTGCAGGGATTATTGGCATATACTACCATGCCCAGCTTAAGAATGTATCTTTCCTAAAAAGTTTCTTTATGCGTATGAGCACTCTGTCTACATGTTCTGCTCGCCAGAGGAGGGCATTGGATCTCATTACAGATGGCCGCTCTTCCTCTGGAAGAGCAGTCACCGAGTCATCTCTCCAGCCCCTTAAAAATGTACCTTAGACATCCACTAAAATTCAAATTCTAGTCCAGGTAATGGCAGTGCAGGTGTGTAGTCTCACTTACGGCAGAGGCAGAGGGATCCTTTGAGGCCAACTCAGCCAACAGAGACCCTGTCAAACACTGCCCATTCCCTATTCCTGATCCAAACACCAAACCAAACAAACATGCTGAGCCACAAAACCTGAAGATTTTGGCAAAGGGCTGATCATCCAAGATGGCAATAGCCACTGTATAAATAGCCAAGAGCCACACATTTAGAAATAGGCAGCCATCGTCAGCATCCCTGCTCTATGGATAAGAAATCGAAAGAACAAGCAATCAAGTAACTTCCCCAGTCACTCAGCAAGAAAAAGCCCTGACTTTGGGAGAGGCAGGTCTCAAGAAAGGGCTGTCTGTCCTCAATCCTCTCCAGACCCTTGCAACTGCCTCTGTTCCCCACCTGGGTACAAACTGGTTGGCGGGTCGTTTGGGCCGGTACTCTGGGTGCACCATGAAGAGCATGTGGGGGAAGCCAGTGCCGAAGTAGGCGCCGTCGGTGTGATGGTGCCGTGATGATTTGGGGGTGTACACGTCCATGCACTTGGGGCAGTAGAGCTTCACCATGGCCTCGCCTGGGATGTCCGAAAGGCCTGGGGGAGAGCCAGACCCTGTTGACCAGGTACCCCCAACTCTTCCCAACCTCCCACAGGACTCAGGCACTGACTAGATTAACCTGACTTTTTGGAGGATTGCCAAATAGTGCCCTCCCCTCCTCCTGACACTCACCAATCGGAAGCATCGGCTGATTCTCACAGTATACACGAGGACAGTAGCCAAAGTCTCCCTGCTGGTACTTTTCCAACTAGGGAACAAAACGAAAGGGACTGGTGAGTGTAGAGCAATTCCTTGCAGCTCGACTCACTTCTCAGTCGCCCGAGCCTCCCGCTTCTAACTAGAAGCCGCTCCTGTTAAGGCAGGCCTCGACTTCTCAAGTCGGCAGGCTGCAGAACACAAACGCCATTTGCTGTTTGTCCCTGAGAGCTCCTTCCTGTCAATGGTTCCATCTTTCCCTGAGGACACTTCAGCAGGACCCTCAGTGGGGATCTGATCTCAGCCCAGCTCTTATCTCTTCAGCTAGACTTCCTGACAGGTACAAGACAGGACTTCTGATTCATGCACCTGCGTCCTGACTGCCTCAGCAGCAGTGGGAGCAGAGCCTCACCATTTGGGCGATGCCTCGGTTGGTGAGGATGTAGCGGGCGTGGATCAACCCATAAAGCATCTCCGCTGCCTGTTCAATCAGGTCACTCTGGTTGGGGTTGTCCTCCAGCTCTTCATCTGAAAGGTAGGATGGTCACTTGTAACCCCACCTCATGCCCAAGGTGGCCACCTACAGTTTATCCAGCACCTGCTTCTGAGCCCCACCCTATCTACCGCCCATGCATCAGCACTGCCTTCTCTCCACACCTCTCTGCCTGCTTCTTCCCTTTCCCAATGCACACACAGAAACACATAGGGCAGAGGGCGGCACTAGACAGGCAGGGAAGAAGCCGTACACAGAACCAGTGAAGAAACCAGCATTATGAAACAGAGTTGAGTCACATTCAAAGAATGTGAAAACAACATGGAAACAAATGTTTCCAGCCCCAGAAGGCAAGAGTCAGGTAGGGAACCAAATGAATGAAGAAGCCAAGTGTTGTTGCTTGTGCTGGAATTCCAGCACTTGAAGGCTAGGGCAGGAAGAGCAATTGGTAAAGTCCAGTTGGGATAGGAATGGAGGATGGGGGGGACACATAAATAGCAAGCAAGGGGTATGGGGATAGGAGAGGTGGAGAATCAAAAGGAAATTTAGAAATAAAAAAAAAAAGCAGTTGGGTGGTGATGGCACAGGCTTTTAACCCCAGCACTCAGGAGGCAGAGGCAGGTGGATCTCCGTGAGCTCGAGGTCAGAGAAATGCTGCCTTAAAATAAATAAGTAAATAAATAAATAAATAAGAAATTCAAGGAGCAAGTGAGCAGCGGCCGGAAGAAGAAAACAACGCACACGTAAGTGCACACAATATCATCAACCCCACACTCAACAACAGCCCCAGGGCTTGTTACCAGGCTCCAGGTCCAGGATCATGTCTAGAGCTTGTCGATAGTGAGGCACCTGCTCATTGAGCCCAGTGAGATTAAACTTGTCCTGGATGTAGTCTTCATCCACCTACCGGGACAGGGAGGGCAAGAGGCTGAAACCAGTGTGGACTCCCCTCTTTCACCTGGGCCCACCAGGTTAATGACCGATCAGTTCCCCTGGGCCCTACTCCCAATTCTGCATAAGTCCTCAGTGTCCCACAGAAACCGTAGCTCTTTTCTGTACAGTGCACAGACGTAACTCAACCTCTGTCCCGCATCTCTAGCAACTGATTTGCCCTTTCCTCAGGGACATCGGACTCTCTGAGCTAAGGACTCGGGAATCATGAAGGCTAAGCAGTCTAGTTTGTGAAAAGCATTTACAATGTCTGACATTAACATACTATAATTTTCACGTTACAGAACTCTAACAAGAAACATCTGCATCTTCCTGTCACCGAGATAACCTCTGTTAGCCAAGCACAGTGACAAGCCTTGTAATCCCAGCACGCAGGAGACTGAGGCAGTAGGACTGCCATGAGTTCAAAGCCAGTCTAGGCTATGTGGTAAGCTCCGAGTGAAACCCGACCTCAAACAACATAAAATAAGACATCGAGGGCACGTGGAGCTGGCCAAGAAGCAAGCTAAACTCACCTCACAGAAGAATTCATTGCCACGGAGCCCACAGAACCAGGAAATCCAGGACACCTCCTCAGAGCTACTCATCTTCACGTCGGCTGGGAAAGAGGAGCGTTAAGTGGAAACCAAGCTGTCTCTGGGCTCTTCCCTCCTCCCACGCGCTCTCCCCGAAGACGAAAGAGCCCGAGGCCACCTTGGCTTAAGGGACCCCAGGCTCTGAAGCATCGCTCTCCGCGCGTCTCTTCTTTGCCTCGGCCCCCGTTCAGTGTGAGAATGAGTTCCACTACTTTCCAGAAGATGACAGATCCTGATGCACTAGTGTGACCCCCGTGCCCGCCGTTACCCAAGACCAGGCCCCTGTCCCCCCGTGTCAGCTGCGGCAGAGCTCTGGGCTCCGGCTCCCCACCACCGCCGCTGCCTGCACGCTCCTGGCGCCTGTCCCAGGGCTCCCGAAGTTCATCCTTCCCCCAGGACCGGCCTCGCCTGCCCTCCTGCGGGATGCGCCAGCGTCCCCACAAGTCCGCTCCTCTCCCCAGGCCACCCACCCTCTCCCGGCTCCCGACCCGGTCACTTCCTTCCTCGCCCCCACATCTAGGAGCCCAGGACCCAGCACCGCACCCGGGGTCGGACGACGCGGCGCGGAGACAGCCTCAGACTCACCGGCTGGACGGGGACTGGGACTGGGGCGGGGAAGGGGGAGTTGCGCTTCGAAGGAACGACAGCGACCGCTACGGCGCAGGAAGCCGACCCGACCGCCGCAGGCGAAGTGAGGAGCGGGGGGAGTGGAAACTGGGAAGGGGGAGGGAAAAGAGCAACGCGCAGGCGCCAGAGGCCGCCCCCTACCTCTGTGGAAGCCGGGAGATGGAGTCCCGCCAGAGGCGAGAAACTGACGAAATGAGGGCAAGGTGAACTACCAATCCCAGGAGCACCCGCGCGCGCCTCTGGGGTCGCGAGGCCCTAGAAGCCTCCTGGGGGCGGGGCGAACGGAGGCGCCACCGGAAGCGGAAGCCAGGGGCCGCGGCTTCCCAACCAGGAAGCCTGGGAAATATAGTCTTCGGCGCTTTAGGCTCGCTCGGCTGCCGGGCCGGCGCCAGCGGGGCGTCCTCCCTGCCGCGCTCCCTCGCGGCTCTGCCCGGGGACCCTGGTTCTCCCTCCGTCAGGCCCGCGACAGCGGTCGCCCAGCATCAGGCATGCGTAGAGGTGTGGCTCGGTGGGGAGGGACTTAGGTCGGGGCTCTTGGAGAGCAGTGCGGCGGGCGTGCTAACCTGTGGTGGCGCCAGCCAATCTGCCGCTCGACCCTTTGCACTTCTCCATGTCCTCGGGCTGGAGTGGACCCTAAATGTGTGATGAGGGGCACCGTGGTGGTGCTATTTCATCGCACAGCTCCTCGGCATGTCACGGGTCAGGGCCTTTCTTAACGCAGAGCGTGGCCTTCCAGCTCCAGAAGAGGAGCTAGGAGCGGGAGGGACCACGTCGAGGGTGACGAAGAGCATTGTGGGGGCGTTATGGA